GACTGCTGATGTGTTTTTCATCCAAGAATTAAGTTTTCAGAGAAGACACTGGCTAACAAATGCAATTTCAGTGGAGAAACAGAATTTGGCTCATACAATGTATTGGATGCCATCTCTAAGTTTTGGCCCATATAATCTTAATATTATGGTGCTCTTCCCCTCTGAGCCTTCTGCAGCAAGTGTTATGCAAATTGAGGACAATCTCCAAAGTATTGATGCAAAAAAGACTGAATTCTGAATTGCAAATTTTATTCACCAATAAAAAGTGATTCACTTTAAATGGGTTTCTACAAAATATGTTAAATATGTCTCAACTAACACTAGGACTTTTTGGATTTTGACCCATTGCACCAAAGTCCAACCACATTTTAGGCGCACAAAAAAGGTAAAATTGTGCACCTAGCACTTTTAGGGTGCACAAAAAAAATTGTGCACCTAGCAATTTTTAGGTGCACAAATTTGTGTGCGCCTGCATTTTTCAAAGGACAAGCCCTGGAATCAGAAGCTTGCACCGGATACAATTTGGGATGAATTTTGAGATGCATGGTATTTTTTATTTTTTTTTGCATCTGTAACATCCAATTTATTAATATATATAACAATTAGTAGAAGCCATGTGCCTGTATGTTTACAAATATGACCAATACTTTTTGATCAGTAATTTTATATTTAGGCCTAGATTGATTCTCCCTCTCTAAACTGTTCCTGTATTTGTACCATATTGAATTGCGTAGCATCGTGTTCTTTGTCATTGCATCGTATCGCATTATGTTGAATCAAATCCTATCATGTTTTTATTTGCTCCCTATGAGCTTTTAATGTATTGGATCATTGGCCATGCATTGAGGAGTATCACATCGACATCACAATGATGCAAATGCGCATCCATAATATTTATGCAAATTAAACTCTTAATGTATCGTTGCATTTATATGGTAGTTTGATACCGAAGGCTAGGAGTTATATTCATATGTAATTATTGCTGAATAGATTGTAATGACTGTCAGAACACAATGTGCAGTACCTATTAATGGTCTAAGTAGTCTTTAAGTGAAATGAAAGGAATGGTTTTATTTTTAATTTCATTTTTATTGCATTTGATGTCTGATTGGTTGTGTGGAATTCCCCATTTTAATGAAGTGCTGCATAATTGGAGTTACCAAGTAATCGTTATGCTCACTCTCATCTCAGGAGATGTTTGATTTGATCGATGAAGGAGTCGCCTCATTGCCCTTTGTTTCTTTGAAACACAAATTAGTCTGAATCCTTGGCCTCACCTGGGGAAGACTGTAAACAGGTTTGACAAGTTCCTTTAAACATTGAGACAGTAAAACAAGTGCTCCTGTGTGTAATAAGTTATTGACATGTGGATTAACAAACGATGATATAGTGTTGTCTATGAGATTTATCTTTAACAAGTTAAACACTTTCTTAAAGAATTACTCCTACAATGATCTTAAGCTCAGTTCATCTCAAACATATATTTGTCTAGTAAATAAATTAGTAATTCGGTTTGACTTAATTTGAAGTTTCAAACAAATTTACAACTCATACATCAGCAGGTGCTTGAAATATTCTGATGCCATCTTGTTATTTTTTATATACACTGACAATAGGCAGCTTTTAAAATGCTGGAGTGCTCTAGGAATGAGATTTGAGGAGACAAAGGCTGTACTCACCCTAGCTGATCCATATTGCGCCCAAGCATGTTTGACCCCCAAGGTCCAGTACATTAGACTAGTGTGATTGCTCTTTACTGTGCCCAGGTATGGTACGCTTACCTGTGCTCTGGTCTGCTTGATGAGGTGGGTCAGAGCATGATTAGTCAATTTTAGAATTTATTGATTATCATTGTTGACACATCACAGTGCACAACAACGAAATGTGTCCTGCATTAAACCCATATGTGACATAGCAGGGGGCAGCTAATTCAGCGCCCGTGGAGCAGTGCTTGGATGTGGTACCTTGCTTAGGGTACCTCAGTGGTGCCTTGCTGGTCTGCAATTTTTCAGTTACGAGTGTGCTTCCCTAACCATTGAGCCACCTCTGCCCACAGTCACCACTGCCCACATCCAGTACAAAACGTAGGTATGACGTCAATGATGTGACTGACATGCATGCACACGTACACTATAAATGACGCAAACCCGAAATAAATGGATTGGTAGGCTGTGCAGTCTTTTTTTTTTTTTTTTAAAGATGATATAAGTATCATTAAGGTTTTTTTTTGCTTTCTTCTGTTCATCTGCATCAGCAATCTATCCTCATCAGCACTTTATCCTTAGAAATGTTTAAATTAGCAGAGAACAATCAAACATAAAACACTTACCACATAAGCTGCAACCATGTGAAGTTAAATAAAAACAAAACAATTGCAGTAAGAAAAAAACAATAGGGATCCTGCAGCTGCGCGGAGCCCAAAGTCACAGATTTCAGCTTCACATTTACACATTTTCAGAAGCCACGTTACAAGTACAATTGAGATTACAAGTGCACAATTTCTATATATGTGTACTCGGAATGCTAGGATTTCTGGCAGCTTTGGGTCCATGACAACTTTGGGGAGGGGGGCGGCAGAGGGACGCCGACAGGATTCATGGAGTTCATGTGTTTCTTTTAATGACAGCAGTCAACATAACAACTGAACTAAACATCAGCGAGTGTTGCCATCTTCACCACCCTGGGAGCGTCTAAAAAACACAGATATTTCAGGTGGTTGATGTGACATATTTTCTGATGCTCTGTCCACTGGTGGGAGTGTACTCACCTGTGTGTGCGCGCACGTGTCTGTGCGCGTGCATCGTGGCGGAACAGTTAATACAGGAATACAGAGAGCAGAGGACTGCTGTGAAAAATATAGCCCACAAGAGCTGACTGATACAGGCACTGTGCCAGTCAGATATTACATAGATGAATCAGAGGTGATGATCTGTTCTTGCCATGTCTTTAAAATGACATCTTCAGAGGTAGTGATTCTACAGTACATGGCTTCCCCCCAGTGCTGTTTTAGGCTCAGTTACAGGTGACAAGAGAAACTGAAATACAGCTGGGTTAATGTGCAATGCATGCATGCATGTGGTTATTTAAAACCTATGATACTGCCATTTCCACAGGAAGGGGTGAGTACTCAGACAGCTCTCAGAAGACATCCAGCATTTTGGAGATGCTTACAAAATTTAACCACTAAATGTACAGTAGTAAAGTTGTAGAGTGGAAGTGTGACACGTGCTGCTAATATCCAGTATACTGTTTGGGCAAGGGGTATAAGAATATGACATTTGACAGTATTTGACATTAGTGACTTTTTTGTGTTTTTTTTTTTTGCAGGAATCCGGGTTCTGGTTGATGCCAGAGAGAAACTGCACATCCCCTGGGGAGATCCCGCCAACCAGCTTCACGGGGAGACCATGATGTCCTTCGACACACGCTCCGTCCAGATTGCGCAGGGCATGGTGGAGACGAAGATCTTCTTGCAGTTCCTGCCCTCCATACGCTCGCTGTGGAGCGACAGCGGCATCCAGAATGCCTATGACAGACGGCGAGAATTTCAGCTGGTGAGTTGCTGGCCGCTGCAACGGACTTATAGTAAATCATTAGTAACAAATTGCCGTGGAACATTTTAGCATTATCAGAAAGATCTGCTGAAAACTAGCTTAAGATCAATTACAGACAGGATGATGACATTTTGATTGTTTTTATACCTCCAGTCGTCTAGTTTCAGCATAGATTGATAAACATTAATGTTCTGTCATTTCCTAGTCATTTCAGGGAGTACATAGCTAAATTGGTCTCTTTTTTTAACTATGCTGATTTTAATAGCACATCTGTTATTTTATTTTGTTTTTTATTATTTTAATCAAGTGTAATTTTGAGGGTAGTATTTTCTCATGCTTACCTGGCACACAATCATTGTTACAATTTGTGACAGATGCACAACAAATAGTTGGAATTACAACTGAACTTTTAAGAAATGTACCCATGTACAAATTTCTGAATATTACTGGAGTTTCACATGGGTTTAATTGCCAGGTATGGCCTTCCCATAATCTCTGCTTTTCGCAAAATATTACTTAATTTTTTTTTAGAAAAGTGCGTATTATCATTGAGGAGGCCATTTAAAATAGGCAGCCGGGGATCAGTGGATAAAGGGATATAAAATGACCTGGTAAAATAGTTTGCCTCAATGCAGTATGATGGTAGGTGCCAAATGTGCCATTTTCATTGTGCTTTGAACTGCAGTACTGGGTGTTGGCATTCTTAGCGATATGTTGTGTGTATATGAAACGGTTTCCCACCCACATGGGAAGCTTTTGAGTCAGCATGGGCCAGCATCCTTGGGGAGTGCCTTCAAGGCCTTATTGATATTCAGTAAGCAAATTGAAGCTACTAATGTTCTGTATACTCAGCATATTTAAGCAGTAACATACGAGGAGTGCGGTTATACTCCAATATATCACGGCTGTGATTCGGTCATAGGCACAAGGCTGCAGACCGAGGTAACCGTAATAAGACACGGCATATTTTGTTTGTTTGTTTATTTAAACATTTACAGGCCTCCGCAGAAAAAAAGTTTCCGTTACATCAGCAAAAGTGGGACGGGCTAGCGCTCCAAACCTTTCGCATACCTGGAAAGTTCAGTCTATGATCGGTATAGTTTTGTCTAATATCGTCAGAATCAGCAGTTGAACCAACTAGCCAGCTTATGAGCAGAATAACTTTGCGTTGTAAATTAGAACCATCCCGCAGGTCTAATGAATAAAATATTGTGGCGCTCGAGTGGCAAAGAAATTATGAGGCGGACAGCAAAGTTCAGTTATTAGCAGACTGTTTTATTGTGCGATCCTTAGAAGCACAGTAGTAAAACAACGAGCGAAAATGAAGAATACTCATTTACGTACACAGATGGCGTGTCTTTAAAGAAAGAAAAGTGGCTCAGTGTTGGTGGAAATGAGGTATATGTAACGGTTTTTAGATGCTTCCGTAAAGTCGAGTGTTTCAGCTGATGTGAATCGTCTGAGTGCGGTTATACTCTGATAAAGATACTCATAGAACACCTCTTATCCAATCAGATTTCTTGGTTGGAGGTAATTGTATTATATAATGCACAGCTGTGCATATAATAATCAACTATAATGTAGTAAGAGCTGTTTAATTCACTCTAGCCCAGCTGTGTATCTCCTAAAAGGGATCCAAACACCTCCTTTAGACTTTATTCTTTTGTATGTGCTAATGACCATCACTGCATGGTCTGTAGTGGTATTTGATGTGATATGTAGATGAACAGCTTGGTAATCGAGCAAAACGAGTGTTTTATGCTTTGCTGTGCTCTGAGTCTACACCAAACGATGCTCACTTCAGTTCCCTCAGTCTCCCTTAATTTGCAGGTCAGACTGATAAGGTCTGATAGTGTTCTAAAATTCGTAGTGTTTTCAAATGAAAACGCTGCAGCTGATAATTGTGCCCTTAATCACTTCAGTGTAAGATATTAACATGTATGCAATTTAAACATTTTAACATGACAGGTAGAAATATAAATGGGAAAACAGTACAATTCCACCCACTCCTGTCATTGCTGTCCTTGGTTACCCACCCCAATATGAACACATGTCCTAGCATTTCATAACCATTCAAATGTGCCATAGGGCTGTATGTAAACTATATTTCCAGACCCTGTAACTGAGGACTTGCATGTATACAGTTTTATTTGCCTCCATACTGAGATCTTATTGTTCAAGTTTATTAAAGCGGGCTATAAACTGCCTGTGTTTCGGTCCCCAGGACTCTGAGCACGTGACGTAAACCCTCTACTTTTTATAATCCTTCTTAAGAAATACTTGTCCCGAGTACATGCTTCCTTTGCGTCATCATAGCAGCGCCCTGCAGACCCTGCAGAATTGTGCCGTGATTCACTGAGGCTGCAGCGAGCCAAAGCAGAGCACAGTGTGGTTTCCCTGAAGCAGGTGACTTAAATGTCAGGAGTACCATAGTCGGGGTGCCTTCAGCACAGGTGGAGCTGCCCCTGCCTTTTCTCACGTTCTCCTCCGCAAATCGTCCATCAGTGAAAAGTTTGACGCTCGCTTCCTGTTTCTGCGGTACCCCATCCGTTCAAGTTCCTGTCTTGTGCTCGTGTGTACAGCGGGCATCAAAAGACGTGCCAACCCCCACTCCGGCCCCATACCGTTTGAGTGTTGCTAAGACCAAACAAGGTATAATCCAGGCAGGAATGTTGAGCCACTGCTGAACCTTCCACCCGCCCCTGAAAGGTTCGACAATCACTTTATTGGGCTTGTCCCATTTGCGCTCTATCATGAGCACCTGAATCCCACAGTGGGTTAATGCTCATTAAGGAAAGTATATGCCAGTGCTGCATGTTTTTTTGTTTCTTCGTGTTTTTTTTGATACTGTTGCATGTGTGTGACACCAGTTGCACTGTTACTTTGCAAACATGTTAGTTGAAAAAGCAAACTTGACAGGTTTGCCTGCATTCTGAAGATAGTCAGTGACAGGACCTTCTTGTGGTGCCCATGATAGGGTAAATAGTGAGACCTTTCCCTGATTGACCAGCTGTTTGGACCTTTCCTTGATTGGCCAGCTAGTGAGACCTTTCCCTGATTGACCAGCTGTTTGGACCTTTCCTTGATTGGCCAGCTAGTGAGACCTTTCCCTGATTGACCAGCTAGTGAGACCTTTCCTTGATTGGCCAGCTAGTGAGACCTTTCCTTGATTGGCCAGCTAGTGAGACCTTTCCTTGATTGGCCAGCTAGTGAGACCTTTTCCTGTTCTGCATGTCACTCAAGTCACCTGCTTTTCCTTCTCTGCGGGGGCCAGTAGCCAGATTCCTGAACTAGTGCTGGGTAGTAGGGCTGTGCGATATGACCGAAATCTCATATTCCATATCAAGTCATCTCATATCCCAGTTCGATATTTATCATGGCTGCACCTTGTATTTATAGATTCTTTCTACAAATCAGCTGTGGTAGGAATTGAATAAAAATCTGCAAATAAAGAGGAGCGAAGTCATGTCATGTGATCCACAAGTAGATGGGAAATGATTCAGAAATATGCAAAACCTTTTTCACGTGTACAAATCATTCCGTATTTTTGTGGATATGATTTTACACAACACAAATAAAATATATTTTTGGATAGTGATACGTTTGTGATTTTTTTTCTACTGATCAGCTGCAGTATATAAAGCCCCTAAGAGGTCTGGGCGGGAAAATATTTTTTTTTAAATATTTTTGCATTCCCGAACAATACTTCTGTTACTAATAATAACTGTACTGTGTCCATTTAAAGTACAAAGCATAGAATTAACAGACTAATAAGTGTAAACCTAAACCCAGTTTAGTGTGCTTTAAACTACAGGGGACAATGCACGCTATGTAATTTTCATATATGTTTTTAAGCATGTTTATTAGCAATTTTACTGTGTCCATTCACCATCAGTTATTGTAAACAGGACAGCCTAGCTGATGAAGGTGAAGTGTACACACACACACACACACACACACACACATTGAAATATTACTTCAAATTTGCCTGTCAAGAAATCCGGAAAATCATGGGGTGTTGCTTGCTTTTCTTGCAAGATATTACAGCTGGAAAACTGAATACAGACGCTCCTCTACTTATAAACTTCCAACTTCATTCAGATATACGAATGAAGAGGACTGTACAACGCAAATAAAAAATGCGTATTTGCCAATGGTTAAATATTTGTGGATCTTGGTACATATTTGTGGATTGTGTTCTGTGGGTTACAAATAATGAAGTCCAATAAGAACTTCCATACAAGTGCCACATCCCATGTGGTGGCGTGTAACCTTGCAAAGCTGTCATCCAAATGATGAAAATGTGCATAAATGGTGTATTGTGCGACACCACGACATAGTTATTTCGTCATCCGATATGTATAGTCATATTGTACAGCCCACTGGCCAGTTAACTGATTCATCTGGTATACCTCTTAAGTTCCCCTATGGCAGGGTTATTCAACTCACGGTCCTCGAGGTTCGAGCACTGCTGGTTTTCCAGCCTTCCTTTACCTGTCAGTCAGGTGTGAAGCCTTTGACCAATCAGAATCCGTAATTATTAAACTACCTGGGAGAACTGAAAACACGGCCTGGATTTGGAATCGAGGTCCAGAGTTGAAGAACCCTGCCCTGTGGTATGGATTTTTCATATACCACCATACTGTAGCATACCTGAAGCATCATTATGCTTCAGTAGGTAGCAAATTAAATTGTTTGCTGCTAGAACTGCAAAGGATCGCTGCGCAGAGTGTATCGAGAGGGGACCACTATTAACTGTGTGTACCCTCCTTAGTAACAGCTATACCTTAATAATGCAGCAAATTTCCATATACAGTTGTTAAGCATTATAGATTGTATGGCTGCTACTTCAATCTGTCAAGTTAAATGTAAATGGTCTTAATATTTAATAACACACCTTTTTTTAAAAAAAAACATTCGTAAACATTTTATTAATGTAAACATTTGCTGCTACAGTAAGGGTGAACTACGAAAATAATACTGTGATACTGCCAGAATCTTACAAAATACCTTGATACAAATTTTTCGTCATGCTGTCCAGCACTACCCTAAACGTTACCACACCGCCTGCCTACCTCTCCATTGGCATGTCAGTAAACTTGTACTGTCTTTAGTCTGTGTTTGAGGCTACCCTGGTGTGCACAGGACAAGGAAATGGTACACAGGAAATGTTATATTATGCAGAGTGGGACTTTCAGGGGAAGTGAAAGTACAGTGCCATGACTCATTATGACACTGACAGCTATGGTGGGAATTGATTCTGTTTCCATTTAAAGAGAAGCTTTTAGTTCAGTTTCATTAAGTTACATGGTTTATTGTTGGTCCTCCTCCATTTGGCAGACCCTTCTGTCCAGAGTGGTGTACAAGTGAGGCAAACAGCATATTACAAACACCGCTGTGGAAGAGTTGACTAGGTATAAGTGTGCCTAGGCTGAGCTTCTAATGTATGCCCAGTTACAAGTGGTAAGCGGTATTGGATCAAGAGCAACATAACAATTTTCAGCAAAGCACGGATCTAATAGGACAATTCAATGACTTGCATATTGAAATCACAACAGTGTTTAATGATTCTTACCTGTTTAGGGCAACCCCTGCACAGTATTCACTTTAGGCTGGGTGCAGACTATTTAATGTCTCTAAGCATAAATTCCTTAGTAGGCTTCCCAGGAAGACCCTTAGAAAGTTTAGTTTGTTGGTCAATTTTGTATGTGCAAGTTTGAAAGAAAATAATCCCTTGTAATTTAGTCGAACAGGTAATTTAAAGTTCTTAGCAGCTCGTTCTCTTTGAAAGACCCTAATACATTTCCTGTATATTGCAATTTTAAGTAAATGATCATTGAAGAGTCATAACAAAGAGTGACTGTCACTGTCTTTGTGTAATCCTTTCCTACATCACTGTATGTGGTTTTCAGTGGCACCAAATTCTGAGTTTGATTTCTCTGCTTCCCCATGGAACTCGAGGCACCTTGGAGGAGCATGCCCAGTGTGCCTCAGCGCGCCTGCTGTCATGGCACCTTTCTGAGTTGTGGTTTTCTGTATCTGTAATACCTGTGACCTCGTGGCCTAAACGTCTGCATCATGCTTATAGCTGCTTGCTAAACAGGGAACCACCCATCCAAAACTGAGAGCTTGAATGAGGGACAGGATTCAAATCTGTTCATTTAATGGCTGAAGCTCCGTTGACATTTGCTGCTGTGACAATCACAGTGCCTGTAGGTGGTGGCACACAGATTATTCTCTGTGTGGGTTTTTAGAAGAATTTCCTTTTGAAATATGGCACCTTTTTACACTGCAGGTAGCATAAAAAAATATATATATAATAGTGTTTTCTGTAACCTTTTTCTATTACAACTACTTGACTTAGCTGTAGCTCATTGGAAACTAAGTGTTTCTTTTTTCAAGGTCGAAGTTTTTCTAGTGAACTGTATTTTTAATACTGAGCTATTAAATAGTGAAAGGCACCAGTAATATGTCAGTTTTTCCTTTTATAATGAAATATGTATGTAGACTTGTCTTTTTTGTCTTAATCATTTTCTGAGAAGAGCACAAGAAAAATATTGTGTAGCTGTAATAGTAGTTACAGTTCATAAGAAATCAATTTATATACGCTAGGGGTGTGCAAAGCAGCCGGTATTTGTATCCGTATTTGTATTTGTTGAGGGGGGAAAAGTATTTGTATTTGTATTCGAGTAAAAGTCAAAATAGGCGTAAAATCCATTTTTTTTGCGTTGCACTATAACGTAAATTAGAAGTGTAAGTATTCTTTAATTATATCCATTATAATAATTATGGATATGCAGTAGACAGAGTAACTTAAACGTACCATATAACTCCCACAAGTGCATACAATTCGACACAACTACACAAGCATTGGTTTAACCTTTTTAACCGAACATTAACGTTACTCTGTCAACAGCCTATTGTATAAATTACCGAGCTAACAGAGTTACGTAAACAGAGCGAACATGAGAGCACCCAACTGCAGACGTCAATAATGCAGCGTAATGGAATAATCTCCCGATGAAACTCCGCTTCCCGAAAGTTATAAACTGCCTCCGGAACCCAGTTAAGGTACAAAAATCTATTCAACAAAAATAGTGATGCAGTAAAGTCTTTTTTTTTGCTCAGCCGAGCCTTCTCTGTTGCTGTGTGGAGCAGTCTGTGTCAGTCACCTCTTTTACTGCCAACCCCCCAACTCCTGAACGTCACTCACTCCTTCATCCGGGCATGCACTGCGGTCTCATGAGGAAACGCAGCTTTTTGATAAGTTTTTCTTGTTACCGAATACAAATATTTTTTAAAAGTATTTCTTCGAAATAAGTATTCGTAAAAAACACATTATTTGTGCCTTTCCGAATACCGTAATCGGGTTCGGCTCCACCCCTAATATACACGCAGTTTGTTGCTTGTCTGTTTATTGCTACTCATGGTGTAGGGGCAAAATGTTGACTGACTGTAAGCAGCATTAGCTGTAACCATCTCACAGCCACAATTAGCTTAATGTTCTCCATGTTGAGCATATACTTCTGAATTTATTGTCCACCCATGTCGGTAAATGTTTTAATTTGTTTCCTTATGCATACTGAACCGAAACTGATGTACTGATCTGTACATGATGAATAAGAACTAAGATGTGTTTTTAAACACTTTCCATATGGACAGAGATGTAATAATTGCTGCAAGTTAAGGTTCCAGAGCCCATGTACTTTTCTGTGATTTATCTTATACAAGGAATTTGCCTTTTCTCGTGTTAAATTACTGCAGCATTATGTAGATGTTTTATTATTATTTAATTATTTAAATAACGCTGTATGGATCTTTGCACTTGAAAAGAAAAAAAAAACAAGGCAAAGAACCTAATCAGCAATGGACTACTATTATTCAGTTATATGTTTAATTATGGTAACAGCCTTTATCAGAAACCTCATCTTTACAGGATGTGCTCGCTTTTACGTCTGGTGGATGAAAAATATTGCAGGGTGACAAAGGGATCTGTTTATTTGCATTGTGCAATTCAACAGTGCAATCCTGCATAATCTGGATCTTAGTGGGAACTTAATCCTGAATGGTCCTTGAGACAAACACTGGAGTTGCTGACCTGTCAATAATTCCAGCCAACACTTTGAATGGATTAAACATTAACAGGGATTAACATTAAAGGTTTTAGTATTTAGAATTTGCAAGGTTGCAGAACATGTTAAAATGTATGTGCATCTTTGTTTTTGTTTCAGGACTTCTTGTGTATGGTTTCTTGGTGAACAGCAGTCACCTTACACCTTCAGGGTTTGGGCTTCAAATCCCACTTCAGCTCTGCTTGTGGCATTTGCATGTTCTCCTTGGGGCTCCTCCAGGAACTCCTCTTTCCTTCCGCAGTCCTAAGACCTGCAGTTAAGCTAATTGGAATCTTTAAATTGTTCTTTGTGTTTGTTTAGTTGGTTGTGCTTGTGTACGCCCTGCAATAGCATCCAAACCCCCTGTGACCCTGACCACGATAAGTGTTTAGAAGATGGATGGATGGACTACTGGTATTTAAAAAAAATTATTGCAGTTTATTATAATTTCCATTTTCATAGCCCCTAGTTTTCTTTTATTTAGTAGACAGTTTTGTTCAAAGTAATTTGGTGAGAATCAGAGAGCAGGATCAGACAGTAGCCCTGGAGCAATTGTGGATGATGGCCTTTTTCAAAGACCCAACAGTGAGCTCACTTTGCCTGCCACGGGATTTGAACCAGCAACCTTCCGATCACGGACATAGTCCTAACCCCACAAAGCCACTTGCCAAACCTTCTGAGGTAGCTGTCTGCTTTAGTGCTGGATGCACAGCCAGCTCTGGCGCTGTGTGTGTTCTGGTGGCTATCAGCCAGTTCTTCCCACTTTCTGCAATTCAGATTGACAGCATCAGATGACATATTTTACTTGTGTAATCGTTCTGAAGAGGTAACAATGTAGCGATCTCCTGTGTGTCCTGATGCTCAACTGTGTGAATTGAATCCTGCTTTGAAACCATTTGACTCTCAGAATAATTGTCTCTGAAAACCTCCAAGATATCTCTCGACAACTTACTTTTCATTGGAACAAGATATAAAGGCCACTATTAAGGGAGCCAGTGTTAAAACTGGACACACCAACAGGATGGAATGTTTTTTTGGGAGGTTTGCACGAAGAATTCACTCGGGAAAACATAAAATGCCATTACATTAGACATAAGAAGGGCAGAGTAAGGCATTCATGGTAATTTGGAGGTTTGTTTAGAGGTGACAGCACTGTTCCTCAATTCTATTATAAAGCTTTTCCATAATTCATTCCTGGGCATTTACTGTATGAGATTCTACTCAATTTGAATGAATTATCATTGCAACACAGTATAACATTCCCTGTACTTTTGAGTGAACTTGCATAATGTACATTTTTGCCTTGTTTTAAAGTAAAACATTTTTATGTGATGACGTTACTTTTTTGTTTCAATTTGCAGGGTGAATCTGTGAAATACTTCTTGGACAATGCTGGTAAACTAGGACAGCTGGTAAGTCACACTCTCCTCTCAGCTTGTACAGAGACCCAAGGAGTGGACATTGTTTCTCTGATTTGGCTTAATGCAGAATACATTATTTTCTACATCACCCTTTAATGTCTGACTCCACCCTGCACCACGATTGGTTAGTTATATGGTGCTTTGAGGTAGCTGGAGACAACAGGTGCAAGTTTTGCTGACAGATATGGGACATATTATTTATAACCCGTCCCTCCAAATTCTTTTATTTAGAGAAGTTCCAGGATGTGACTATACCCTGGATGCATGTAGCTTGGAAAATATGCCCTTTTCCAGGGAGGAAATCATTCTAACCTTCAGTGATTAAATGCAAACAAAACCAGTGCTGGAGGATTTGGTGAATCTTCGATGCGTTTCTGCCAGAGTGGCTGCTGTGTTTGTCTGACAGGCCTCAAGTTCTTGTAGAACAATAACCACCTTGTCGTACCACAAAATGCAGCTCTCCAGCTCTTTTATGTATTGTTCATTTTGAAACATACCGGTACTTGCAGCGCTATGGTTTACAGGCTTTTTTTTGTGTGTTACACTGGGACATGTTTAAACAGCTGGCCTAACAGATAAACATTCCAAAAAAGTTAGTTTAATGGAAAGAAATTGCTTTACCTATTCTGACTTAAATATTTTCCAAAAATATTCATGGTTGCTTTTGAAATTAACAGCTAAAATAGTCACGTTGTTATGAAGTTTAGAAGACTTTTGGAACAAGTTTTGTTTGTTAGCCGGCAAATTATAAGTCTCATGGATTTTCCTTCTTTGAGACTGGGTGGATATGGAACAGTATTAGATGGATAACAGACTAACGTCACCTTGGCCACTGTTAGGATGACGATTCACAGTCAGACAGTGGGAGCACAAGAATAGGGCGAGCCAGGAAACTACACCCTCTCTCATCCAGCTTCTCCGTGGCTCTCCAAGGCCCAGAAGAATCATGCAATCTGATGAGGCTGGCGTTGAGAAAGAGGAAGTGGGTTGCATGCCTGCCAGGAGACTCTCTGGGGAGGCTCCTGGAGGAAGCCAGACCTCCCGCTGGCTGCAGTTCCTCCAGGCCATACAGTGAGCGCCCTCCAGTGAGCTCCCTTACAGTCCCAAGTGTTTCATAACTTTGCTGTCGATAAACAGGAAGAGGAAGTGCCACAAACCTAGAGTGAAGGCAAAAGTGGCCACTCCTTCATACTGGTAAATCCCTGTGAGGTTTTCTGTTATACTTGCATTAAAAAATTGAATGATGGGCACAAAAAGAAATTGCTTTAAGACATTCAGAGAAGGAAAGTTGTAGAGGTCTCATTGAGAAGCATTTTTTCAGGCATTCACGTTTGGTGAACTGATATGTTTTCCAAATAAGGCATTGAAAATGCAAACATTTCAGGATTCTTTCATACTTACAGAACGGAGAGGACTTTTGGTTAAATCACAAGATTAAAAAGTTTACTGTGGATCTGTAGTAGCCTGTCTCTACTACTAATTCCTCCCCCCTCAGCTTCTGGTGGGCTTGTTCTTTGGCTTGTCATTATAGCCTCTTAATAATAATTCCGAATTATGTAATGACAAAATTTTACAAATTTTCCTTTCATTATGTAATAGCACCCGTGGCATAAATGCAAATTAAGTATGAATAGCATTTAAAGGTTAAAAGTACAAGTAACCTGCAGTATGCTTGAAATATCAGTAAGAGGTGGCTCCTCAAATATTGACCAGTTCGCTTGACCTAGTCGTAGGAACGGAACTTGGTCATTAAGTCTCTGCATTGTATGCTGAATTCCTCCATCGTTTCTATATAGGGATCAGTCTCAGCCCTTCTGCACTGTCCCCTCACATCTCATTCTTATTAGTAGTACTTATATTATTACCATTATTGTTAATATTTTATTATTATTAATAGTAGTAGTAGTAGTGGCAGTAGTAGTAGTAGTGGTAGTGGTGGCGGCGGCGGCAGCCTGCTGGTTTCTAACGCTTTTCTTGAAAGTCCTGCTATTGGTGCTAAACTTTGCAGCACCGATATGTGCCGTCCTCCGAAGTCTGTTGAAATGTAGCTGGACTGCATGTTCAGTCATGTCTTCACCATTCAGGCAATTTTCCTTGTTCATCGGACGCTTTGCAAAATGGATTCTGTGGCAGTGTGGAGGTTTCTGTTTGCTAGCACGTTTTAAAAAAACACCCTATGATATGTGCTTGTTTGCGTTTCCCAGATGAAGGTGCCTCATAATCCGAGGCACTGATGCAATTAGCCATGATTAAAGTCCAGAGTAGGGTCAATTAGCTAGATCTGGGTATTTAGCACAGGTCATTCGTCAAGAGAACATGCATTTAATTCTTAAGAGATTTCCAGAAATCACATGATTTTGTAAGAAATCTTGAAGCTTTGTTTTTCTGGCATATGGTAGCATTTTTTTTAATTAAGAAAAAATTGCACAATTGACATTTTGTCAGAGAAAACAGAGTTAGAGCTGGGATCAGTTTGTATATTTCTGGAGGGCAGGTATGTGATTTCTGAACATCAAGGGAAGCGCATATTCCTGATTACAGATGGAATCAGGATGGAATTTGGCTTGTACAAGGGCTTCTATTAAATCTGTCTCATTAAAATATTGCGTAAATGACTCCACTTAGTGTAGTGGTATGATTTGCTATGCAATGGGTTAATTTTATTGTCAATCTCCTCTTGCCTCAGGACTATTTGCCTTCACAACAAGACATCCTCTTAGCTCGGAAGCCTACCAAGGGTATCCACGAGTACGACTTTGAAATCAAGAATGTGCCTTTCAAGATTGTTGACGTGGGAGGGCAAAGGTCGGAGCGCCGGCGATGGTTCGACTGCTTTGACAGCGTCACCTCCATCCTCTTCCTCGTCTCTTCCAGTGAGTTTGACCAGGTGCTGATGGAGGACCGGCAAACCAACCGGCTCAAGGAATCACTCAATATCTTTGAGACTATAGTCAACAATTGCATCTTCAGCAACGTCTCCATCATCTTGTTCCTCAACAAGACGGACCTCTTGGAAGAGAAAGTCAAAATTGTAGCCATCAAAGACTATTTCCCTGAGTACATTGGGGATCCCCATAATCTGGCCGACGTGCAGAAGTTCCTGGTGGAGTGCTTTCGCAGCAAGCGCCGAGACCAGCAGCAGAAGCGCCAAGACCAGCAGCAGAAGCGCCGACACCAGCAGCAGAAGCGCCGAGACCAGAAGCAGAAGCCCCTCTACTACCACTTCACCACAGCCATTAACACAGAGAACATTCGACTGGTTTTCCGTGATGTCAAGGACTCCATCTTGCACGACAACCTAGAGCAGCTTATGTTACAGTGATGCTTATTGTCAGAGACTTTCGTTTTTACTCCATTTAATTAATAACCTTAGGGAGGGAATGTCTGCGGTGAGTGAAATGAGGAAAGCAGATGGTCGTCAGCAGTAGTGTTTGAAAATTTATAGTGGTGACCAAGATCATGAACGTAAGAGTCTATTTAAAGTTGCCTTGAATACTGTAATTCTTTAGGATACTGTTGAGCTTCCCTCCTCCCTCTAAGTAACACCACTGATGCCATTTTAAAGTCTGTTTAACTAATGGAACAGAAAGAGTATAATGATATCAGAACAGTCCTTATTTGTCTTACTGAGCCTCTGTTACGGTTTAGCTTGAGCTGAACCAGTGCTTTAAGATCTATGTTCTGAGCCACTCTGTCCATACCTGGTTTTATTTTAGTTTTCTAATTGCTTGTCCTTGAATATTTTTGTTGATTTCATTATACATACATGCCTAAATTATATTTCATTGGTTTACAGTTCATTGCCTCCAGGATTTAGTACTTCTGGTGGGTACATATCCCACTGAATGGAGCTCCTGATGACATGGGTACCCACATACAAGCAGACGCGCTTGGAGACCACTTGATTTCTCATACTGTAGTTGACTTTACAAGAACTACAGTATTTGTTTTAATCTCAGGGCTGAATGTAGACCACTTTATTTTTGCTAAAATGTACATTTGTGTTTAACAAAAGGTATTTCCAAAGTGACAAATTAAAGTGTATTTGTTGATCAGTGGCCATTTTAATAAATCCTAAGTTTGTGTGGTGCCAATAGAGGCAGTTGGCATTTTTAAGTTTGGTCTATTTGTCAAGAAGGAGTGAAGGTGTTTTTCCCCTTAGCTAAATTGTTCTTTTAAATCCCAGAACAACACGTCTGTGTACTTGGTTAGAAACACCTGCCCAAAGTGACACTTTTTTTGTGCCAATTACTAATCAGTTACACTTCCCTGTGTCAGATGTATTCAAAAGGGATAGAAATTGCTTTTTGGATCTTGTAAAGACTGATTTTTTTTATAGTTGTATAAAAAGTGTCTTGTGTAAATGTGCCTACTCAACGCAATCTTTTTTGTTTTTTGTTTTTTTTTTTTTACTAAAAGTTGCATAACCCACACTGATTATGTAACCTGTTAATATATTCCTTTTTTCCCCAAAATTGATGTTGTCTTATTGCTGTATTTAGTCATTAATTAGATTTTCTCAGTGTCAGTCAGAATCTGATGTGACCTGATATATATTGCAGTCCTTTAAAAAGTTGCATTACATTTTGCAGACATGAGATACGTACTGTTTTTCCACTTTGGAAATAAGTGTGTTATCATTGGACTTGCCTGCATGCTTTGAAGAGTTGCAGCTTAGGTATTGACTCTGCATTGATGTTTTTACCCGTCCCTTTCAATGTGAGAGCTGCGGAGAGGGATGAGTGATCCTCTTGATTTTACAGCACATACATATATAGATATACTGAGGGCTGAAATGTATGTGCTCATTGGCTTGGTATTTAAGTGTCAATGACGTGAATGTCGATATGATGGTTTTTGAAACCTTGATTTACCTTCTGAAGTTCACCTGACATTACAAACAAACAAAAAAAAGACTTCTGACAGCACCTCTGAAATGTATAATGCTTATATGTGTGTACTGACAAGCCTGTTCAGTGTTCCACTACTGGGATTTATAGGCGTTTATAAACACACACAACTAATATGAGGCCTGTATTTTCTTTTTATTTTTTTGTGTGTTAGGGGGATATCATTTGAAGCTTGCATGTTTATTATGAATGCTGTCTCTATATGTAGAGGTAAGCATTCTTTTTGTTTATTAAAAAAACACAGGAAAGTTTGGTTAAGAGCTGCCAGGTGACCTGTGTTAGGCGAAATGTGGAACTGAAATTTTGATCCATCTTTTCGCTACAATGGTTGCTTTTGATCTCCTGCTGATCACAGAGTAATATGGAGATCTGTCCCTATTTCACTGTTACAGTTGCACCGTAGCCTTACAGAGTCTGCACAGTTATGAGTACACCTTCATTTGCTCTCAGCTACAGACGGTTACTACTCTAACAACCCCCCCCCCCCCCCCCCCCAGATCAATATTGCCTGTGATGATTCAAGTTGCCTTTTTTTCCCCTTTCAAAATTCTGAAGACCCCCCAAACAGCTGTGTCTGCCATGAGAGTGACCGGACCTTTTCTGTACAGTAACATGCTTGATAAAGTGTAGATTGGGATGCCTTAGACTATGAAGCCAGGGTAGAAACCAAAATCAGCTGTACTTCAGATGGACACTTCCAATACACCCTGTGCCTCTGGAATGACCTTTTTTGTATTTACTCAAGATTCATTTTCTACTTTGACTCTTAACACTGTAATAAGCAAACAAGACCCTTATGTTGTAAAGTGTGTGATTACTAATTACTGATGTCCGTCTGATGGGTGAACTAGGATGAAACTAAAGTTAACCCGCAGATATTTTGGGTATGTCTCTGTCTTGGACTAAAATATTGTCATAAACAGATGCTGGGTTTCAGTGTAATGGATTCCAGTTAATCTTATCCAGTTAAAAAGACTCACTGTGTCAAAGGGCTTCTGGTTTACTATGCTCGCTCGCTCTCTCTCCACCCCACCTTCCAGCCTTTCAGAACCGATACCTGCAGGTCATTTCTGTGAGAAGCCTATGCAGTTAGTGCATGAATTAAAGTATTTTTTACAAATGTTTCTAAAGTGACTTTTTTTTAACCTTTATCATTGAATAAGTGCAAAACAGTGAGTTTTCTGAGCTGAGATTTTGCCATGTCTCCTGCTCCAGCTGTAGTAAAACATCTGTCCAGTTTATAGTTTCATATCTGGTCTATCGCCTTATAGGGTTATTTTTTTTATGGTCTTCGGTAAAGGTTTATTTTTAAATCTTAGTGTGCCAATATGTTCTTGGAAGTCTTAACCTTTTTATGTCAGATTCAAGGTTGAATCAAATGTGTTCAATTAGCCCTGTCTCTTTACAGTGATTTACAAGTATTTTCACCTGTATAGCGGTTTGTGTTTTTTGCCGTATTCTGTGCCCTGAAAGGCAGGGTGTAATATTGCATATACAGGGGATAAACATTTCATTGATTCAGCCTTGAATGTGGACTTTTGGGGGGAGAGAAGCTGCTCACAATGTGCAAGTTACCTTGCTTGAAAAGCCAATGTTTGATATCCTGAAGCCCTCTGTAATAATACTTCCTGTACCGTTGCTGAACTACTCTGCTGTTATGCTCCTTTCATTCTTTCAATAAAAATAAAACACTCTGAAGTTGGACGTGTGGAGAGCTTGTTTATCATGTGTTGCTTCTCTGGTGCCTTGTTAGTAGGGAGTGATTCTGGGTGCTGGGATGGTTTGCTGTTTTGTGGCCTGGCGGCTGTGGGAAACCTGCTGGTGGAGCTCTGACTTTGCAGCGTGACGTGTGGCTGGCAGCTTCTGCTGGGCTCCCAGCCTAATTGTTACACATAAACTCAAGCCATTCGATGTAAATCCAACTCTTGCCTTTGCCACTTATGGGAAATCTGTGTGTTATGGTTGTGAAAATTATGGATTTCACTCCCAGGACTGTAGAAATTTTAATTAAACGAATAGTTAATGATACTTAGAGTGAGTTGCTGATTAGTCTTAAATCAGTATAGTACAACTCAGTGCATAAAGTGATATGTTTACCATTAACATGAATATTTGTAAATATTCATACACCCTCACTGGGGTGACGTGGTGGCGCACACTTCTGGAACCAGAGTTTGAATCTCTGCCGTGCCTCCATGTATGTGAAGTTTGCAATCATCCCCCTGTGTCGTCATGGGGTTTCCTCTGGGTACTCCAGTCCCCACACAGTCCAAAAGCATGATGAGGTTAACTGGAACTTCCAAACTGCTTGTAGGTGTAAATGTGTGCGTGTGTGTGTATGCAGGCCCTGTGATGGTTTGGTGCCCCATCCTGGGTTGTCTCCTGCCTTTTGCCTGCAGGCTCTTGACCTCCTGTGATCCTGATTAGGACACGTGGTTACAGAAGATAGATGGATGGATGGGGATACCTCCACTGCTCCGCCAAAGGACGTTTGTGTTGTCTTTTGCCAAGATGTATTTTTTTGAGTTGAATATCTATGGATTTATCTACCTTATATAAATTATTCATTTTAAATAGGAAAAAGTTGTAAAGTAAAATGTTGGGCACAAAAGAATTTTGACAGTGCACCAATGAACTTGGCAGCAGTTTAATTTGTATGTGAAATAAAACCAAGACAACACGTTTAATCACGAGTTATTTTTAAAATTAGCACGTATCCATTGATTAAAAGTTTCGCGAAATCGTCAAGTGGGACACTAATATATATTCAAATTCATGCCTTTTTATGATATATGGTTATAATTTCGCCCTAATGATCCAAACAAAAAATCTTTACCCCAATCTGAGTTTACCCATATGAATTTTATTTACTCTTTCGTGCTTCAAGTACAGCTACGCTCACGGAAGCATTGGACTCCCAGTTAGTAATAGGGGATATTACCATTGACGGTGCTACCATCATACGGCAGTTTCGTATTGTGGCCAACACCAACTGAGATTAAATCTTAGGTGAAAGAATGAATCTACAGTCGCATCACACTGTGTGACGTAGATATGAAACAGATAAATTACTTCCTATTAACAAGGCTTCACATTACTCAGGGTACATTTTCAATCGCCAAACCGTGGGGAAAAGCGATGACTGAAATTGTGAAATCCGTGGTTTGTCTGTATTTGGTATGTAGCCTGGGTAAAGTGACAAGTAATAATTTAAGTATTCATCAGGTCAAACATCAGCAATAAGAAAAATCCACTGACAAATTTTCTTCATGTAGTTCGGCTACAATCAGTAATTTAGAGATGAACCCTAAGTCATTTTAGTTACGTCTTGTTTACGACGTGTGCACCTAAATCCGACTTCATTACTGTTCGTTTTGGTTTTCGGCGATGACTGACAGGCCAAGAAGATCCTGAATCTCTCGAAAATGTCTTGTGTGTGACGATCACGTTTTTTATATGTATGAATATTGCCAGATGCCCGTATCGGAGCTTCGTGGGCTGCTCGTGTGCTACAACTAAGTAGTATTACTGGTATGTTGTAAGCCGTATGCTTTATATTATTGTGCAGGGTATTATTAATATTAAATGGAAAAAATATATACAGCTGGAACATTGTTGCACAGTTCTTGTCAGATGCACTAATAATTCATATGACATGTACAGCAACTTTATCAGTGTATTCCTTAAAATGAAATCATCAGGTAATCTAGAGGTATACTGTAGAGTGTTGAGGAAATAGCAAATCCTATGTATCTTCTAATTTTATATAATCCGGGCATGGACTGTAATCTATTTTGCATGTACCGCTAGTTTAATTACCACAAACCAACACACAATGTAACTTAGTCATTTTCATGTCATACCTGGTCATACTGAGCATTCTTTTAACAATTTGTATTTTCATTACCATTCATTGCACCATCAGAGCCAAAACAAAAAAAACAGCCTGTTTTGTTTTTCTATTGCTTATCATGATAGTGGAAAATGGACGTAATTTCAGCTGTTCGAATTCTATTTGGAAATTCCCATTAATACTGGACTTAAAGCTAATGTATGACTTATATGCAAAGTTCTTCATATAAATATACAGTGTCTTATATGTCCTAGGCTGATGTAGAGTGACTGCGGGACCACATGTGACTCTTTGTCTGTCCAGTAAGATGCAGGTGATTCAGCATCCAGTGGAGAAACTGCAAAATGCTCTAGTGTCCAGTCGTAGGGACCTGGTGGAATGCTTCCAGAAATACAGCCATAACGAAAGACGGCTGATGGAAGAAGGTCTGCATCCTGACAGTCCTCTCTTCGGTCCCATCACCATACACTCTGACTCCGACTGGATCTCCTCCCATCCGGAGACACCCCAGGACTTCCAGAGCTTCTACAGTGACCCTTATCGCAGCACTCCCATCAAAAGCCGAAACACCATTTATATACAGACCATCGGTAGGTCTTTTCATAACAGTGAGATCATTCTGCTGGTCTCAGTACAGTGCAGGAAACCTGTCCTCCATAATCATAAAATCACTGCCAGTAAGCTTTACATATTGTGTTGTGTTAATGCAGAAAGTGTAGGTAGACATGCAGCTCTGAAAAAAATGAAGAGACCACCATTAAAAACAGCATTTTAAAATCTTGGTCTAATTCTGTTTCTGCTGCCAGATGCCTACAATGCCAGGCAGGCTGCTTCTAGGCCCAGTTTCTAAGACAGTAGGTAAAGCAGGCGACACTGGGAATAACTAAACACCAGCCAGGTAGAGGGCAGAAGCCAGAGATGGCCGATGGCTTATCCAGCAGTGCCTCATAAATCGGAGGATGACCTCAGGCTACTTTCAAAAGAATAGGAAACATTAAATGGTGTGAAGTGCACTGCTAGATAAGCTGTCTGTCATCTCTGGCATTAGGAAGTAGCTTCTGCCCTCTGCCTGGCTCCTAGAAGCAGGACTGAAGTCCCATAAAGTAATGAAGAAGCCCTTCATTAATGAGAAGCTGTGAAGAACCAGGCTGGAGTTCGCAAAAAAATTGTACTTTACACAGTCATATACCTATAAATTGAGAAATGACTGAAAATTAATATTTTGCTGTGGTCTCAATTTTTTCCAGAGCTGTATATGATACACAATAAAATGACACGTTATAATGTTAAAATTATCCAGTAGAAACTAGGTTAAATCCTTCAGAAATAATTAGAACATTGCATAAACTGGAAGATCCTTAGTGACACATTAGGGGCACATACTTTTATTGATAGGCTCGTTTGGGGAGTCTGAGGGCCTGACGGTGCAGTATGTGCAGTGGCTGTGTGAATACTGCCAGGCTTTCTACCTCGGCCTGACAGTGAAGCTCCTGGACCCCGTGAGCGTGTCCGACACACACTGCGCCTTCAGGATCAACAGCAACACGCACAATCTGCAAATACATGCCGGTGAGAAGCACCGCCACCCCCGTGGTTGGGATTTAGCTCTGCGCTCTTCCTGGATCGTATCTTCATCTGAATCCCACAGGTCTTAGAGTGTACCTTCAGAAAGACACAGCAATGATGAAGGTGACTTTCATAGAAACCGAGTAGTACTGGTGTGTCTAATTCAAAAACACAGGACCCCTCAACGTAAGTGAGATTAATTGTTACATACGAGTATACAGATAAAACCATGTGTGGAAAAGGCATAAATATTCCTGCTCGCATTGAGGTTGCTAAGGGTCATTTAATTAGGGAGTTTCGTAGTTTGACTAATTCAGATGTTCCTGGAAAATTTTGACTCACAGCGTATCACACAAAGACTATAAAAGTACTGGCTGTGAATACGAGAGTCAGAAAATGGAGGATCAAGTAGGATGGGATCCTTAAGCCTTTCAGCTAATGTTTCACAGATTTCCACTTAATTTCCTTTGAAGCTACAGGTACATCTCATTCTACCATACCCCTGTTTTTGTCTCAGGTGATTTGTTGAATTTTCTGAAAAAGAAAAAGCCTAAGGACGCCTTTTGCATTGTGGGGATCACGATGATTGACCTGTATCCCAAAGACTCATGGAACTTTGTGTTTGGCCAGGCGTCTCTCACTGAAGGTAATATAGGATAGCGTGACAGCGGAAAGAAAGCGGTTCGCTCGTCTGTCAGGCTCAAGCTCTCCAAGATGTGGAGCAACTGCAATTTTACACCGATTAACACTGGATGATGTTTGTGGTGCGGTTTACTGAACCCTGAACCACAGTTGTTAGACTTTCTTAAGCCACATGCTAACTGTCAAGGTAATCTTGAGCTTCATTCAGTGATTTACCATGTACTGTAATGTTTCCTCCACAAGGGGGAGTAATAATAGAGCCACTTGAGTATGAGTATGAGTACTTGACAATTTGACAGTATCACTAAGTAAACAGCAGATGGTATTATCAGCTCAAACGTGCCAGTTTGGTTTCTCGTTTCTTGCTCTCATTTTTGTAGGCATGGGCGTTTTCAGTTTCGCCCGGTATGATGACAACTTCTACAGCACTGGCTACAAAGGCCGGTTGCAAAAAGGAAAGAGGCTGAGGCAAGGAGATTATACCGTGTTTACAGGATATTACACACCTCCTATCAGCAGCACATTGCTACTCAGGTCCTGCAAGGTCAGCCTCCTCGTCATAAATCAGCGAAGTAAGAAACTCATGCAGAACCAATGTGTGGAATAACTGGTAGGAAATATTTATTAACATATTTGGTAACACTTTACTTGTGGGGGCGCAAGTAACTTAGTAACTCAGTTACTACTCAAGTACAAATAATGAGTAAATGTAGTTGTGGGAGCCATTCGTTATTTTGTTGTGTGGTGGTGGTGGTTGACACTAGGTGGCAGTGTGGGCTGAGTAAGCTACAGGTCACGGTGGCACGGGGGCGATAGCAAAACCTTATGAAGCCATGGGGGCAGGAGGAGAGATTGTTAAACGTTGTAACCTTTTATAGTATCGCTATTAAATGGGTACATCACCCAAAGATTAATTCGTTGTGGACCTCAAGTTACTATGTATAGTGGATCGGCATAGTAACAGGATCTAGCCGTCCTGCAGTGAAGTGGCTGGTTGGACAGTAACTACAGTAGTAACTGCATGAAACACATGAACCATTATGACTGATTAATGATGAATAAATATGGGATCAGTATGTAACTAGCACTTAGTTTATGGTTAATTAATACATTAAGTAAGAGTGTACTACTACATTATTTGTGTCCAGAAGTAGTTATCTTGGTTATCTTGGTTTTTTTCTCTTAGATGAAGTACCTAGCCACTGTACTGCTTGTAATTATAATATATAGAACTCATAATTTTGTAAATTGTAATAATGTCAGTAGTGTTAATTTAAGTCAATTTTATAAGTGAGGCAACAGAAATGTCCCATATTAAAGTTCAAGGTTTATGACCTTGATGTTGCCAGATTAAAAGACAAGTTTTTGCAATCGACACCATTTAGGTAGCAGGTCTTTATGAAGAGCTAAGGATAGTGCTGAGTAAGACAAAATTCTTGTAGTGCAGGGTTCTTCAACTCTGGACCTCGATTCCAAATCCAGGCCGTGTTTTCAGTTCTCCCAGGCAGTTGTTTAATCATTACTGATTCTGATTGGTCAGAGGCTTCACACCTGACTGACAGGTAAAGGAAGGCTGGAAAACCAGCAGTGCTCGGAGCTTGAGGACCGTGAGTTGAATAACCCTGTTCTAGTGGGTTACTTGACTGAGCTGTATGATGTTTGATATGAGCCCCATTCATTTGCTTTTCTGTTTCCCTGGCAGACTCTAACGCATGAGATCGGCCACATCTTTGGCATTAAGCACTGCCAGTGGCTGCAGTGTGTGATGCAGGGCTCCAACCACCTGGAGGAGTCCGACCGCAGGCCTCCAGAGCTCTGCCCAATATGCCTGCGGAAGCTGCAGTCCGTTCTTGGCTTCAAGATCGCCGACCGGTACAAGGTGAGCCAACATGTCTATCCTCTTTTGAGCTACATGAGAATGATGATCTGCATCAAGGAACCATTATTGATTCACTGTAATTGAAGTGATTTCCAGGTAGTGTGGGAATATCACTGCATTGGCAGCAAAGAGACGAATGACATTAAATGTTTTTCAGATGTATTGGTCCTTATCTGTCAATCTGGTACAAGCAATTACCTGGACAGATATTCGAAATGAATAAACACAGGTCACCCCTTTTCCTCATCTCAGTGCATTGGTACCCAGCCTGATTAAGCTCAGCTGATGTTACTGACTGACCTACACATGCAAAGACCACATTTACTCTAACATTAAACTACAGAAAAATGGAGGCGATGCAGCGATTGAGGCGCAATTAGACGTTCTTCGGGCTGAACTAACACGTGCCACCTTCCGTAGGCTTTGCTGCAGTGGATGGAGCAGGGCTTAGCCAGTGAACAGCACACAGCTTCCAGCCCCTCGGGGAATATGGTCAGACCCATGCAGGCTTTCGAGGACCACAGACGGTGGCTGCAGAGGTGCCTGAGTGTGCTGGAGGGTGAAATATTTTAGCTCTGTGTCCAAAATCACATTGGATCTACAGTTATTTTTGTCTTGAAAGAATGACTGTGTGTTTATGAACACGGGAACGCTTGTGTGTGTAAGAAAGTATGACATGCATCTACATCATTCCAGAGTCACGCTGACAGCTTAACATAAAATATCTTAGACAGATTTATAAAAGAGCCTCTTCATTATCAATAGAGACTAAATGGCCCACTTACCTTCCTTTTGATGTAAGTGAAATAACATAGAAACATGTGCAAACATTTCTTTCAACCCCGCAACCCTATAAATCCAGCATACGCACTTGAAAATCAATGGATATTTTTTTATTAAATTTGTAACACTGCAGCATTTTCCAGGTGTAATGAGCAGCATAATAAAAAAACAATACAACTGGCCATTGACATATGAAAAATAGGAATATATAAAAAAAATAATTCTTATAACGCACACCAAAAAATTGAATCACAGAAAAATTTTCAAGTAATTTATGCTTCAGTTGCATTTCTGATAGACAGCATGAGTGATTCTGATGCTTAGAGATTAAGGAAGTAAAAGTGCAGGCCCGGTGTGGGGAGCCTCTCACTGTACAGTGCAGGGTTGTGTTTAAGCCAGTTTGCTGTGCAGTTTGCCAGCCGTGCGAGAGTAAAAGCTACAGCCGAATGACTGCCAAGTGGAAGAAGTGTGAGCCAGAGAGGCGGAGTTAGCAAGCCAATGGGGCGACCCGCTCAGCACTACGAGTTCCTACGCATACAGCAAGCTTTACAATATTAATCAATTTAAACACATTTAAATGTATAAACCTGAACTAAAAAATGTTATTTTCTGTTGATTGTAGTGCATCTAGTGTATCCTAGGCTGTAACACATTGGGCTCAATTTTGCCAATCTAATGCAAAGCGTAAAGCGCAAGGGGCAACTAACATTCATGGGCCTGTCTAAATACATTTTGCTATTTTGACGACGGAAAAAACAGACTTTGCGCCAGCGCAAGGCGAACAGAGGTTGTCCGAACTCTTAATTATTCGGAGGCGTGTTTCGTGCCGTAACGTGCAATTTACCAATTGCAATGACGCGTCACCTCACCTTTAAATGGCAGCGCCGCATGATCTATGGCGGATTGCTATTAAAACGGCGCGTCTACGCCGTTAAAACAGATCAGTTTTCACCCGAGGAAACGTACGTACTCGTGTGCAGCCACTGTACTCGTGTGCACATCATCTACGTGAGCAGCACTGTTCCACCTAAGGCTTTCGAGGTGAAGCAGGCATGCGATGAGGTAGCAGCGAATGTGTCCTCGTTTTCTGGCATCACCAGGTCATCTGCTCAGTGCCGAAAACAATATAATGATGTCAGAAGACAGGGAAAACAGAAGATTGCTGCTCAGTCTGGTGTATTTAAATACCCATGTGTGTCGATTGGTCATATAGCCTGTCAATACATGATTCTGATAATAAATTTGAATAATTTTTTAATGATACGGTTATATATATATAAAAAATTCTTTGGTGTTTCATTGATCAGTATGACTATGTGAAAGGACCAGATGTACTCTATAATAAAACGTGTATAAATAAAATTAAATAACAAAATACCATTAGTGCAGTTCTAGCATGTACCTGTATCCATAATGAGCATTGTACACCCGCACGTTTAAAAAAAACGGCGCTTAAATACCGTTTAATTATGCGCCACTGACGATAGACGTGGTTTCTGTTGGTCAAAAGCGTCATGTTTCGCTTCCTTAAAATAGTGACGTGTCGGCCATGCACCCTGCCACTGTTTTGTCATAAAATACTACCTATCGAGACGTGCTATCGAGCCTTTCTGCGCATGTGCAGTTCCACCGTCTTGGGATTAGGGTTAGGTTTTAGGGGTTAGGGTTAGGGTAAGGGTTTTAGGGGTTTTGGGGGGTTAGGGTTAGGGTAAGAGTTAGGGTTAGGGCTATCGATTAGCACTACGGTAGCATTTTTTGACAAGGCAGCATATATCGACAGAACACCACAACTCACTTAAAAAACACCACTCCTGTGAGCAGGAGACAAGCAGTAAATTATTTGCTATTTTGATGATGTGCGCGCTTGGCCTGAAAATGAGTAATGCGTTGGTTTGAATCTAGCAAAACCACTTTGCGTCGCATTTTCCACCGGTGCAAAATAGAGCCCATAGACTGCTAATAGATTACTCATAATAAAAAATAAAGTATGTATTTGGTTTCAGATATGCTCACATTCTGATTCGTAGTATTGCAACGTAGGCTTAGGTGTGAGAGACTCGAGACTTTGACATGATTGAGATTGCCATGCATAGCTGTCAACTGTAAATAAACTAAAAGCAGTGCTGCTGTTTGTCTACCACAAAATGCCGCATGTTATTAATCAATCCACATCCGGAATACCTTAAACTGAATGATGTCGGTTTCAAAGTGGCACTTCAGTACCCCTCAGAAGCTAGGACATTTAGTGCAGACCTCACTCTGGGCCTTCACATAAAAGGACGGGCGGCTTGTGGCTATGGACAGAGATGGAAGACGCCATATTAAAGGTAAGTGCCCACAAGCCTTACAAAAAATCTGGCACTGTCCTGTAACATGGTACCAGCGTGGTACATCAGTAGCTCAAATGGTAGTAAAAAATATAATGAGTCCAGAAAGGCAAAGATGAGGGAAAAACATTCAAGCTCTCACAGGATCATAACCCTATTCTGTCTGTCTTAAAAATACCCTTTAGGTGCCTGTCTGCTTCATAGTGAAAAATGTTGGCTTTAATTCCAGCTTGTTTTTGGCGTCAAATGTCCTTTGATTCCATTTCAATATGATGACTTTAAATAGAAAATTAAAACCAGCTTTGCCCTGCATTTACAGAATTAAAGTAAGAATCATATAACATTTTTACAAACCCATTTTCTCCCCTTTCCCAATTTTGGTACTTGCCGTTTGTTTAGGATCTCACTTTAAAGGTGTAGTCAACGTTTCAGTAAAATAAACAGGGCAGCAGACAATCATGTGACTCACAACTACACCAATCTGCTTAGACTTCAAGGCACGAGACTCTGCCTAGGACAGGGCGTAGTGACCACAGGTGGCCAGCTGGGGGCACTCTGACCAGCTTAAATCCCCCTGCTGGAATAGCGATCATTCCATTCTGCTTTTGAATTCCTAGCTAGAAACATGTAATGGCACAAAACAGAATGGATTATCTCTCATGTGTACGGGGTAAAGTTTGCAGAATTAACACTTTTTCGTTGCAAATGACATATGGGGCAAATTGCTGGAATTTAGCTGTGCATTTGTCACAGGGTTTACTGATCATTTAAAATCCCATGTATACATTTTGTGCGTAGTGTTTCTTTAACTGATTTGCTTACTGCAAGTCTTGTTTTTGTCATTTATGCCACGCTGTGACAGTGCTGCCCTCTGGTTGCTGTTTGAGAGAACTGGTCTCCAAAGTAAAATCAACTTCCAGGAGCTGTTTGAGAATTTCTTTGTCCTAAAAAGTGCTTTCAGGGTATCTCTCTGCTGGACCGTCCTCCAGGCTTCTTGCCTTTCTGCACCATTGACCTTTCTTGGCTGGACGCACCAACCCAAGAAACAAGGCCCCCAACCCCATGCCGATAGCACAAGAGTAAAATGCAGATCCGTAATCCTGGGTGATGTCAACTAAGAAACCTGCAAAACATCAAAGTTGACCATCCGTCATAAAAAGGATAATTATCATGATTCTGTGAATATCCAGTTGCTACGTACCAGAATTGAATTGAGAATGCTGGAGCTGGAAATTAAATTGTAATTGCTCTAGGGAATCGGAATTGGAAATGAATTGGAATTACAGGAAACTGAATTGAATTCCACTAAAAAAATCACTTAAGAGGTCTTGATTTTCTAAATATTATATATGCTATATTAATTATTTCATAAAAAGATAATCATTACAAATATATATGATTAAAATTGATGTATTATTAGTTATGCAAAAAATATCTTGTAGTTTAACTGCCTTTGCTTTTTTCCATTGTAAAAATGGGAATCTGGGCATTGCTCAAACTGCATAATTGTTGTTTTGAATTAGAATAAAAATACATTACCCAGAATACATGCAGAAATGGGTCATAATGTTTTTCTTTTAAGAAAAGTTGAAAAAATGCCACTGGTGGTTTGGTTTATTTTTATATAGAATGAATTTAACTATTTGCAATTTGAGATATATGCAGAACCCACAAAACTTGGAATTACACAGATTTTCACGAAATTCAGTTCAATTTCCTGAAATTCCATTTTGATTCCAATTCTCCTTCCTGTAAGTTTGCGGATCTGAATTGGCCCCAACCCTGTGACACCTTAAAGTACCTAAACTGACACTCTGATGTTGCAATATTTAAGGAACATACCAAATGACATGGCATAATATTTATGAAATTCATACATGCATAAAAGTCATTCGTTAAAAAAAATATATATATGTATATATATATATACACACACACACACATATATATGTATGTGTGTGTGTGTGTGTGTGTGTGTGTGTATGTATATATATATATATATATATATAGCAAGAGACATCACGTCATACTATATTATAGGTCAAAAATAGTGATGTTACTTGTCTTAAAAAAAACATTTAAGTAGGTACTTACCTCCCAAGGGGGGTCCGGCAAGCCCTGCAAAGGACTGGATGAAGACATAGACTCCTGCAGCACTGGACATCCTCTCTAAACCTACGACGTCATCCTCAGCCAGCATGGGGACGTGCGTGGAGGCCACGGTGCCAAACAGGAACCCATAAAGCACGCAGCAGGCGGTCAGGCCCCAGATGTGGGTGACGAAGGTGAAGACTACCAGCACCACACAGAGCAGCAGCACGCAGAGCAGCATGATGTAGATTTTGCTAATGGGTTTCTTGTTGAGGATCCAGCCAATAGACATCCGGCCGAAGATTTCCGAGATGGCTATGGTGGACAGCATGAAGGCGGCCTTGTCCCTCTCGATGCCCCGGCTCACGCTCAGCTCGATCACGTAAAGCTGCGGGGCAAAGAAGCCCAGTGTGGCGAAAAGGCCAAACAGCGAGTAACATATGAAGCTGCAGTCCCTCAGCACTGAGAAGTCCAGGAGCTTAGTGTGGGACGAGGGGGACGCCAGCTTCTCTTCTGGCCCCGACGTCGATTGGGTCTGAAGGGGCAGCGCCTCCTCCTGCTGCACCAGAGCCTTCCGCTCAGTGGCTGTCAGCTGGCCTGGATTGTGCTCCATGCTCGGACTGCCCAGTGTGGATGACGTGGGCGGGGCCTCCTCGCAGGTAACAGCGCTGCAAGTCCGTTTATTATCCGGCGTGGCTGGCAGTGGAGGCTGGACAGAGGGCACGGGCGTGGGTATGATGACGATGGGCCGAAGCAGGGCTCCACAGATGATGATAGTAACTTGAAGGACCCCAATTACAATCAGGCAGTTTTGCCATCCAATGTGCTCCTTCAGTGCAGTGAAGGCTGTGGAATCACAGATGGAGCCATTTTAAATTCATATAGAACTATATTGTTGCCAAAAATTGTAGGTGTCTTACCTTTAAACTCCTGAAATTCCTAATTAATAACTTATGCAGTAAATTGCCTAATCATGTACAGGAATATCTATATGCTGAATGAAACAGCAGCAGTACATAATACACACTTCAATGAGGCAAAACATTATGACCAATCCCATGTGAACTAAATAATGTTGGCTAACTCGTAAAAACAGTGTGTGTCAAGGTCTGGGATATATTAGACGGTCAGCTAACATTCAGTATTGGTAGTCACAAGAGTTGTGTAATTCAGGTCCAGAAAGTAAAAGTCCAGAGCAAGTGTTTTGTTTCAACCAACCAGTTGAGTTCTATGTGACTGTGACTCTTTATGCTCAACTGGTTGGTTGAAACAAAATCTTGGTTTAGACTTTTACTCTCTGGACCTGAATTACCCAACTCTGTGTATTCGACATGTTGAATGCAGAAGAATTGGACAGAAATAAATATCTGAGTGACTCGACTCTGACAAAGGCCAAAATATTATGGCCAGACAACTGGGTTAGAGCATCTCTGACAAGGCAAGCCTTGCGGGGTACTCGTGGTCACCTTGTTGAGTACTGTACCTACTGAGAGTGGTCCAAGGAAGGAAAAATGATAAACCACCAATAGGGTGTTGGGTGGCCAGGACTTGATGCAGGAAGGCCATCATGTCTGGTGCAAGGCAACAGAAGGACTCACACGAATGGCAGATAATTTTGAAGATGATTACAGGAGCAATGTGTCATGACACACAGGGCATTGAGTCTTTTTGCATATGGAGCTACACAGCCGCAGGCCAGTCAGAGTACATGTGCTGACCCCTGTCCACTGTTGAAAGCGTACAAGCGTTGGAACTGGGGATGATCAACCTAGAACAGCAGTGGGTCTGTGGTCCTTGGAGCAAAGAAAGGTCACCTGGTCCAGAGAATTCCGTTTTCTGTTGCATCACATGGATGGCTGAGTACACGTTGAAGATCTATAGGATACAGTCGACCGACAAGTCCAATCCATGGCTCTGTAGCCCCATATGTAGCAGGGCTCCATGCACTATGTTGTAACACATTAGTCTCACAATAGTCATAGACATTATCTGCCATTTGTGCCACAGTTGCCCTTCTATTGGTTTGTACCACACAGGATAGCCTTCATTCATATCTCACATCGATGACTCTTAGCTGTCAGCAGATTTTTCCCTCATCAGAGGGTACTCACCACAGCTGACTGGGAGCATCCCACAAGCCTTTCTGTTTTGGAGATGCTCTGACCCAGTCATCTGACCATAATGATTTGGCCCTTATCAAAGTCACTCAGATCTTTATCCATGCCCATTTCGTCTACATTCAACATGCTTACTATGAGTACCGAATGTTAGCTTAGCATCTTAAACATCCCAGACCTTGACAAGTACCATTCTTTAAGAGACAGTCAACATTATTCTGTTCACATGGGGTTGGTCATTACAATATATAGTCATGCCATAGGCATGCCAACCATCCCCACTATAGAAAATGAAGGGACTAATAGTGTTTGCAGGTGGCTGGCATCTTCTGTGTGTGTGTGGGGGGGGGGGGAGCGCAATAGCATCACCTGGGGCGAAGGCAAACACGGAGAGGGCCTCTCCCGTGGAGGCAAGTGCCGTAACCAGCGAGCGACGCCGGCTGAAGTAGTGCGAGAGGATGGTGACGGTTGGGAGGAAGGTGAGGCAGTAACCCAGACCTGGAAGCAGACAGGAGAGAGAGCTGACTTTTATACTGCCACTGACAAAGACAAAGGATAATTATAGTGCATTTGTTGCACTCAAGCATAGACTGATTAAATCAATGAGCACAGGTGGGATTCCCAGATGGTCCATTTATTTAAAGATACATGTTTTCAAAATCCACCAGGGAATGGCGCTACACTAGAGTGACGTCAACACGCCACACAGTAGGTACTGGATCACATAGGATAAAGATGGAGTTAATGATGGAGTGGTTGCCATGATTAGTGGTTTTTTATTCTCCGTCAATCCACTGTCCATATGTGCTTGTATAGAGTGTGCTGCACGTATGGAATAATCAAAATAATATGTCATCCATCCATCCTTTCTCCACCACTCATCCAGTTCTGGGTGCCAGCAACCAAAGTCTCGCTCCAGTTATACAGGGACCTAACGGCCCATAGCAGCAGGCCCGGCACCCCATACTCCCAAAGCACCCCCCATAAGACCCCCCAAGGGACACAGTCATATGCCTCTTCCAAGTCCACAAAACACATGTAGACCAGTTGGGCAGACTCTCGTGAACCCTCCGGTATCCTTGTGAGGGTGAAGGGCTGGTTTATTGTTCCACGACCAGGACAAAAGCCACATTGTTCCTCCTGGATCTGAGGTTCTCCAGTACCCCGGCATAGACCTTCCCAGGGAGGCTGAAGAGTGTGATACCCCTGAAGTTGGAACACATCCTACCGGTCCCCTTTCTTAAACATTGGGACCAATTTGTAATCTAATATTTTAATGATAAATGATAATGATATTCAATGCTAGGACATTCATCCATCTAAAAAAAAAAATCAGTAAAACAAAGTTTTGTAAGTCTGTTAATACATTATCGTGAAGGTTAGGAATATGCCAGCTTTTTGTTGTACAAAACTCAGTTTTTACTACCAGTAGTCAGTGTTCAGCTCATTGAAATAACAGCTCTTGCAAAGTGCCTTAGTGCTGAGTGCTCACCTGAGACGATTCCGATGGTGACGTACATCTCATTGATGGAGTTGGTGAAGGCAGTGGTGATAGTGCCCAGACAGACCAGGAAACCCCCCAGCATGACAACAGGCTGATAACCAAAGCGGTTACACAGCACAGATGACAGGGGGGCTGCAGACAGAACCAACATCATTCACGTGGATTACACAATGTCTCTGGGGCGGTGGGGAATCCAGGTCACAAAGAGCAGCGTGACAAGATTTTACTGACTCCTGTACACTACTAAATGCGGAACAGCCTGAACAAATGAAGTTTAAATGCGATGGATGTAATGCAACAATGATGGCAGGACCACAATGTTAGTCACAAAACAAAGGAATGCAAAATAAAAAGAACTTAAAGCAAATCCAAAGCATGATGTTAGAATTCTTACTTCGGGAATAAATAGTGTTCAGTGGTCGCAGCTTATGACATGGTCGCTTATGACTTATTTAGCGTAAACAACAACAAAAAAAGCACATGTGGTATCACAGCACAAAACAGCTGAATTCAGAACCCGGAATAATGTTCCAGCAAAAACAACGTGTGAACTAGGACAGGAGTAAGTGGGAACCTTACACCTAAATATAACAAGAAACCCAGCTATTTCACCAGTCGGTGGTGGCAAACGAACAGCTCAGCTACTAAAATAAAATGATGTGCATGTACTAATATGACAAAATTAATTACAAAGTGAAATCAACTGAACTGCATCTTCACCATCAAAATACACATGAATAATAGCAAGTTGTGATAATGGCACTTTTAAGAATTATCTGCACAAGTTTCTGCAGAGATACACTTCCCTGATGTAAAGAGAGAAAATAAATAAACCAAGTGAGACTGTCTGACCGTTGGAACAACAGCAATTCCACAAGTGGTGAAAAACAGAGAAGGAAGTGTTTCGAATTCTCAGCTGCTCACAGCCAGAAGCCATTTCATGCCGAGTCAGCAGACCCACTGCTATTCAAGGCCGTTCATCCCCAGCCAGAGTCTCTAGAAGTGACTAACCAAGTGTAAACCTACAGTATGTCTTAATTACATACACTGACCTTCCCGCTAATAGAAGGAGGACATAACACTTCAAGTAACAATTACCAGTGACCAGTAGACATTATCTGCCAAAAGTTACTATGCACTGGATTCCAATTAAATAACAAAGCTGGGCTCAAAATGACCCCATATTTTACACATTTGTGGATATTGAACTCGGGACGGATGTGGTACTAAAACCCATTCCTCACCTGTGAAGGTCATAACAAAGACACAGATGGAGACAATCCAGGACACGCGGCTGTTGGTCTCCCCAAAGTAGGTCATGAGGTCCTGGAGGAAGATACCGAAGCTCTTGATGATTCCATAGGTGTACGCCTCCACGAGGAAGAAGGATACCGCCACCACCCAGCCCCATCCTCCGTCAGGAACCTCGGGGTACACGTTGGGACCCATGAAGCCCTGCACTTTGGACACCCATCCAATCATCGCTGACCTGGATGCTGCTCAGGGATACTGAGCTGAGAAAAACAAAGAGTTACAGTGTTAATGCTTCAGTTACTTAACTAATGATTTTCTTTAACTACCTTCCAACAAAAATGGATACAGTTGCGGCACCTCTGCAGTTTTGTTTTCAGATAATGCACCATTTCTTTCACAGAAATACAGACACAAATTCTGGTGTTAACATTTGTATTTCCTGTATTTGCATTGCAACACAAAAAAATGGCAAAAAAATCTAGTCTCATTTCACACAAATTCCAGAGAAATTACATTGACAAAATTATTGGCACCTTTAATAAGTTGCAATAAATAACTGCATTTCAAGCAGGTGGTTTATTTATATCTCACCTGTGACAAGTTACTAGTGCTTGCAATTTTAAAATGACATATTCAACCAAAAAATAGAGAAGGTGATCTGGCCTGTGTTTTGTGTCCGTGTGTAACACATCGGGCAGGGAAAAAAGACGGAAATGCAGAGAATTGTTTGATGAGGTAAGAAACTAAATTGTGGAAAAACATGGACAGCTGCTTGGTCAGGAATCCTTATCCAGAGACCTTCACACGCCAGTGTCCACTGAATGCAACATCATCAAGAATTTGGCACTGTAGCCAACCTCCCTGGATGCAGGGCGGAACTGAAAAGCTGATGAAAGATTGCAGTGAAGGATTGACCAAATGGTGGGCAAAGAACCTCAATCATCTGCCGAACAGATGATTCAAGCTGATCTTCAGGTACAGGATACAACAATTTCAACTAGCATTATCTCTCACCACCTCAGTTAAAGGGGGCTGTATGGTAGGAGACCCATGAAGAAGACTTTACTACTGACACAGAGACATAACAAGCCAGACTGAAGTTCACCAACCTGAACGAGCCCAAATCTTTCTAGGAGAATATACTCTGGACAGCTGAGCCCAAACTATAGTTTTTTGATAAAGCACATCATGTTCAGGTGTCCTGAACAGGGAAGTCCTCAAAGAGAGTCACAGAGTATCCATACAGTCAAACATGAAGGAGTTTCACAGACGTTTTGCGGCTGCTTTGCTGCATCCGGCACTGGGTCACTTGAAACTATATAGCATCTTGAAACCTGAATATTTCCAAGGCATTTTGGAGTGCACAGTAGGACCCAGTCTCAGAAAGATTGGTCTCTCTGGAATTTCATGGATCTTTCAGCAGAACAATGACCCAAACCACACTTCAAAAAGCCAAACCCAAAATGGTTTGAAACCTGACTGTTTGTAAGTGGTCCTGAACGAAACCCTACTGGACACCCGTGGGGAGATCTGAAAAGAACGGCTGAAAGATGGCACCCATCAAATCTGGGAAACCCGCACCAGTTTGCAACAGAAGCCCAGACCCATTCCAGAAGACAGGTGCAAGGAGTTCATTAATGGCTACGGAAAACACTTGCTTACCAGTTTTCATTCCAAAGGCTGTGCTACGAAATACAAAGCCTCTGGTGCCAATAATTTACATCTTTAACGGTTAGGGAAGCGCACTTGTAACTGAAAGATTGCTGGTTCGAATCCCCGACCAGCAAGGCACCACTGAGGTACCCTGAGCAAGGTACCACCCCCAAGCACTGCTCCCCGGGTGCTGAATTAGCTGCCCCCTGCTATGTCACATATGGGTTAAATGCAGAGGACACATGTTGTGCTGTGGTGTGTCAACACTGATCACCTAATTCTAATTTTGTCAGTGCATTTTTTTGTGAAATAAGAATACTTTTATTTTTTCCAATATTTTTATGGATTGTTCTAATGCAAACAAAGGAAATACATCATTTAACACCAAAATATGTGCACATTTTGTGGGGAAATTCATGCATTATTTTACAAAAATAAGTATTGCAGAGGTGAAAATATTTTTGCCCAACATTGTATGTTGCACTCGTACATTGAAGGTTTTGGTTCATTTTTGTAAAATATGTTACTTGAGTTTAAAGGTTACCAATTTTTTGAATGTATATCAAAATATATCTAAGACACACAACCATACTAAATTGTTAATTTAATTGAAAGCCCAGTGCAGTTATGTGAAATAACTGTCCTTTTATTCAGTGGACATAATGTGTGTGTTTCATTTAGATAAAGGGGGTACAAATGATTTCACAGGCCTTCACAACTCCTATATTTAAGAATTAAAGATGCATGTAAATCATGCGAGTGATCTGGGATTCCCTGAGGCTGTCCAGCCATCGCATGTCTGTGTGCATTTGCTGTGTTCTTTGCTGTGGCTGGATGGTTGTGCTTTCATTCAGATCTTAAAGACCCGATGCTCATATCGGATACGTTGTATGTGGATTCTAAATGGGTCTTGTGTGAGGGCGGTCGTTTCTCCAAAATATTCTCACAACCTATATGTTCAAATTAACGTTTCAAATACAATCTTTGTTCCTACTTGTAAGTCATGCATCCAGAAAATATAAACATATATTTATTTTAAAAAGAAATAAAAAGATATACCACTCGTGTTGTATTTTTCTGGACAGCTTCTAAATGCCTTTTTACATCAGTGGGAAGGAACTAATTTACATGCAGTTGGTGGGATTTTGCCAGTTCAGAACAACTCAGTGCCATTGCATATAGGAGTGAGAAAAACAAGGGTAATTAAAAACGAGAGAAAACTTTTTGGTTGATCGGGAACATTTCAACAATGCCTAATTATGCAATCTGCCTGACTGTCCATTAGTCCTTGGGCAATATTTGATATTTTTTATATTTTTATGGTCTGAGCACAGCACAGTGCTTTGGTTCAGTCTTCCTTATTTAAAACATTATGTTACTTGACTATGCTTGTATTTAATGCTTTTCCGCAATACAATGACCGCATATCATGTCAGCAAATTAAATACCTCTAACACTATAATTTGAAAAGAATGTCAAATATAACTTGAGAATAAAAGTACTTTTGCAGCCTAAGTGACGGTATAATTGGTTTTCACTTTATCTAAACTCTTAAATCTGGATCATATTTGTTTCTTACATTTAAGTTCTATTTTTCGCCAGTATCTTTTTTTATGCTAGAGAATTAAAACTGTCGAGCCTTACCCATTTTTAAATCATAACTTTTTTCAATTGCTCAAAAACACATGTAAAAGCAATAAGTTGAAAACGTCTGCCAAATTAACAGTCGACGAACTTCGGCATGATAGTCATACCAACAGAGCTGTAATTTAAAAATATTCCTCGAAACCGGAATCTTCCAGGGAATATACAATATTATAGCAACTATTGGCTACTTTCTGTTATGTGTTACTTATGTCCTCTGCAGTTTATTCATAAGTAACACGTCACCTCACTCAGATTACCCGTACTGTACGTATTTTCACGTAAAACAGCGTTCCTAAATTATGGTTTACTCACTAAATGCCTCACGCCATGCATAGTTACTTTATATGTATTTACATATGGCACAGCCGGACGTAAACCTGCCAATTCATGTCCGGGTTTTGAAAATTTAATTATTTAATAGTTACTAATATTACTCGTAATTACGTAATAGACTTATGAAGACAAACAAGCCTTTCGGGTGAAGATTCCCCATTCCATTATAACGTGACAATAATGCCCGTGAACGGGACACTTCCCGGAATGCTTTGAACAAAGCTTTACCGTGGGATACGCACAATAAACGGCGAGTACGTCTCCGTGCCGGGGGGAAGCGACGCGTCAGTGTCCCTTTTTAATGCATCAAACATTCCACCCTGACTTCTTCATCCACGATTTTAGTAGGCTTTCAAATAACTCTAACAGTGAACAAATAATTAATTATCAAACACTGACGGCGATTACGAGCAGAAAATGTGAGGGTTTGGATAGCCCTGTTGGTGCAATGCAGCACTAAATACAATGGTTTTTTTTCCCTGTTATGTCCCGGTGAACGCAATAGGACTGTCCCGCTACAGCTGCGGTATTATTTAAATAGTACTAACAATGCATGTAGTGCAGACACGCCAGCATAAATAAATAAAATAAAATAATAAATAAATCCACTCAGGATAATTCACCTATTACAAATAGTAAGATTATAAAACATATTGCCGATTGATATGATATTTTGTATACCTCTTGTACAAATTCAATATGTCTATCAGGTAAATTATATTTGATATACATTTATGTAAAAGCCTATTTATGTAATATCTGATTGACAAGTAAAGTCTAACAAGTAGTGGCAGCTCCCACATACACAGATTGGAAAAGCTAGCTGTACTGCATGCTAGGTAACTTACCGATCGGTTGACCAATCCTGGCTCAAGTGGATAGTGTGAATGGAAAGATCAAGCCCTCCTTATTTATTTAGCTAGTTAGGCATTTAAGTCCACGAGTCCCGCTTACGTTAACATGTAGCTAAGCAGCTAACCAGCTAATTGCAAATTTAACTATTTCGTTACTACTACCTCATAAAATACATACCATAAAAGTGCATTACTCATTATTATAGTTTGCGTTAACGGTCGTGTTCTTATTTGTCTAATTAGCTAGCTATTTCGTCCATTGTGTTTGCTGTCTGAGCTGTAATATTTTCAACACCCGGCTTCATTCATAACTTAATACCGGCTCAAGCCGGTATAGAAACACGGGAGCGTGCGTGTAGCTAAAGCCATGAGCCCATAAGACAGCACGGCATGGCACGTCACTGTCATCACAGTTTGCGGGAAACCTTTATTCTAAAACGTTTCACAGCTCTACGCAATCTAACTTCATATTTTATAAAACAAAGGAAATCAACTTTTATTAGTAAAAGCTTAAGAAAACCTCCCACAATTTAATACACACAATGTATATACACGTATTTATGCAAGTATGTGTAAACTTAATTATAATTCGTAAATGCCGAAGATGGGACTCAAATGTAATTAAGTATAACTCTGTTACATTTTATATCACACAGGCGACAAAAAGTAGACTGACTACGACTCATTAATTTCCATATTGCCGTCCGTTACAATCCCAAATAAACATTCACAGCGAAACGTGTTAAGATCTGAAGTTACGAAGTTACTTGAGCTGCTGCTGGTTTCCGCTACCATGCAGCCGGACACGCTTTCAGCGGCGCGACGCGCATTCGTGAACGCGCACGTTTGGAGGAAGAGAAGGAAAGCCCCGTAAAACAGGTTAATTCTCTTCTTGGGGAGAACAGGAATTCAGGTTGTAGATGAAAATAAAAATTTCTTTGTTGAAATGTATTATTAATGTATATTGGGCCTGCGTCATGCTGGGGTCTGCAGTCGGAGAAACTTCACTCCAGCCGTAGCGTGGGCGCCGCTAAGCGCGGCGAGACTGAAAGCGGCGCTCCGGGCCGTCACGTCTTCGATGCAGCTCCCGGCGAGCGTGGCCATAACTGCGGACAGCTGTCCGCCTCCGAGGCCCGAAGAGCTTCTGCCTCTAGATCCTAAATTCTTTTGTAGATACACGGCGATATTGAGCTAAACGTGTAAGAGCAGCGGTGGAGTGACAGTGCGGGAGCCCCCTGCTTAGAGAGACGGGTGTCTTCGTTAAGGTCACGGCGGGAACTGGGCTCAGCCCGAAACAGAGCCCCCCTACAGGCTGCTTCTGCCGAAGACACCGCTTTAAATCGCATTTTAATTCGCTTAGATTTATTGGCACATATAAGTCAGTTTAATTTGACAACTTGCACGTCAAACGCTCAGTATAATTTAAGTGCAGTTATAATTAAATCCCCTTTCCGCCTTCCCAGCAGCGTTTAAGGAAATTTTCGCTTATTTCCTCTAATTAAAATCATATTTGTCGCAATTGTCAGAACCCGTAGATTATCCTTTAAAAAGTAACCTGTAAATTTTGGTAGTATCCCGTACGTCTCTTATTCACTGAGCCGGACAGCCATTGTAAAGTGGGGACAACACTTATGGGACTCTTTGGTGAAAGGATCTATATCTAATATTTTGAGAAATTCTTTTCTCCCAGAGAGCATTAATCATCAGTTTTATACCGGATTTATGGCTTTCTAGTAATTGTTATACTTGATCGATGCTTATTAGTATTATAATATCTAAATTCATAAATTAATTATTCATAATTCGCAACTCTCCTATAGGTTTACCTGCCAAGCCATGTTGTAAGGCCTTTTATAGTCCAGTATTTTTTTTCTTATTCACATGTTTTAATCACATAATATTATCTATAACCAACATTGCTTTGTAACGTTTGCTTATTTTTTCATATCGTTTTGTTTATACAGAAGTAAAGATAGTACCAGATGTTCTCAAATTGCACTAATAATAGTAAAAGGTCTGTCATGTACTGAAAAGTACATTACTGCATCCACCCATAATCAGGATTATTTTATGATTCAAAAATGTTCTTATAAGATCATGGAATGTCAGAACTCAGGCTGTACAGTTAAATTAAACTGCATCACTGTTTAGCTACTACTGATTTATGCAGTACATGTCATTGAAAGAAACATAAATAAAATAGTGGAGTGGCAAAAATTTGCTTATCCATAAAGTATGTCAATCCTACCTTGATGAAATACTGAAGATTTCCTCCTTGTGTCCTACGTGAAAGCTCTAGCTGTGTGTGGCCTATGTACTGAGGCAAATCAGTGTCTAGTCAAGTTTAGTGTGAGGGCAAACATTACTGAATTTCTGGATATCGAATTATGATTTGTGAGATATAAAGTGCCATTGCAGAAATTAGCCTCACTGCGTGGTGATTCGGTAGTAGAGAGCACAGAAGTACGCAAGCACATGCATGCATGAGGGGTGTATGACTGATCAGTTACCTGAGATTGGAGAGCGTGTTATGCAAATAAACGTGTGATACTGAGGACTCGGGGGGGGGCAAGGCTCAAAGGATCCAGCTGTCTGAAGTCCAGTGGAACCATCAAATCACAATAAACAGCAGACTTTATCTCTCCCACTTAATAAAGGAGGTTGTCCATCACTATTTTCCCATAAAATGGAGTCTTCCAGGTTAGGAATAAGTAAATATAACATATTTAGGAATCTTCCGGGGGATTTCAAATCTTATGGTATTGTAGTGTCATTTTTTAATCATAATTTTTTTTCCTTTTTTTTTTTTTTAAATAATCACAGGCAGTCTGGCTGATTCGGAGAAGTCATGGGAAAAATGGCAGTGGGCTTCGTACTGGTGTTTTTCTCTGTCACCTTGCTCTCAGGACTGATGCACTATGCTGCTAATCACTATAGACGTGGAGACAAGGGAAAACAGAGCAGGCCAAACTTCATCATTATTTTGGCAGATGATATTGGCTGGGGTGATCTGGGGATGAACCAGCCAGATGTGGCCAGTCAGACACCTCATCTCGACCGGATGGCCCAGCAAGGAATGAGGTAGGTGCGGGACGTAGCGCACACGGTGGTTTGTTCATTTTTTTGCTTTCACCCAGAATGCCATTATATCTTCCAGGTTTACAGACTTTCACTCCCCCGCTTCCACGTGCTCGCCCTCCCGTGCTGCCATCCTCACAGGGCGGCATGGTCTGCGTAATGGGGTGATACACAACTTTGCCGTGGATTCCATCGGGGGGCTTCCTCTCAACGAGACCACTCTGGCCGAGGTCCTCCACGAAGCAGGATACTACACGGCCATGGTCGGTGAGCAGGAGCCCCGTCCAGCTGTAACATTATCGCTGCTAAACATCACTTTGTACTTCATTTTCAGTAGAATAGTGGTCAGGCATTGCATTTCTCTTGCCTATTTTCATGTTTATTTTGTGGTGCGTTTCCTCTGGTGCACAGTCTTCCTCCCACAATCTGAAGGCTTCAGCTGGCCACTTTAATACTGGCTTTAGTGTAGAGAGTAAATGCTTCTGCAGTAGACTCCAGTTACCAACTTTGAATAGTGTCCAGCAATTCACTTGTCTTTAAATTACTGCATTGTAAAATGTCTCAATTTGTTTTGATAATATAAGCAATTATACATACAAATATGCCTAAGGTTGGTCAAGTAAAATGTAGATAAATGTTTTTATTTATACTTGCTTTGTTCATTTTGTGTTCTGCCCTTTTTTTTCCAAGGAAAATGGCATCTTGGACACCATGGGCCACATCATCCGATTCACAGAGGTATTTTCTAATGTAAAAAAATGTTTAGATCACAAAGTCAGCATAATGTACTGGCTGTAGCCTCATATAGTGCCATGAAGGCTGACTATGTTTGTGGTTGGCTATCTGGTTATTTTTCAAAATGTTAACAGCAAACTATAGATCAGTTACTCGTGTAGCAGTAATAACTGAAGAGAGAATCACAGTTTCAAAATCCACTCTGGCATCACTGTGTACTGTGAATCACGGTTTGATGTAACATAGCCGATCCCAAAAGAATAATCTGAGAAAAGTGGGTTAAACCTTTCAGTGACTGACACTGAGTTTTGAAGCTTCTGTTATTCTTTTGCTGGAATAATGATTATTTTCTCTGTTGACTGAAATTCCCTTCTTGGGTGCTGTTAGGATTCGATTATTACCTTGGAATCCCCTACAGCAATGACATGGGCTGCACAGACATACCTGGTTATGACCTTCCGGCTTGTTCGCCATGTGATCGAGATGGACCTGCTGACAGGTGTGTCCTCAGGCCAGAATCTTATTAGGTTCTTGCTATGCTTGCTATGCAGTATCACTCTTTTTGCTATGATACTGCTTATACCTGTTACTGGCCATTCATTGGAAGCTCAGCCTAGCTGCACTTACGCCTAATTGGCTCCTTAACCGCTCTGTGTTTGTGATGCATTATCAGCCTCCCTTATAAGGCACCTTGGACAAAAGCATCTGCTAAGTAAATTAATTTAAATGTCAGCAGGACATTTGCCTAGATTAAAGCTCCTGTATTTAAAGTGTATTTTGTGACAGCCATAATTGTTTATTCTCCTTGTCAGTATATAATGGTATATTTAATTAATGTACAATTTAATTCCAGTAACAGTCTATACCAGGGGTCCCCAACTCCAGTCCTGGGGGGCCGGAGCCCTGTGTAGTTTAGTTCTTTCCCTGTTCCACCACAAATGATTCAGCTCAAGAGCTGTGTGGTAATTAGCACAAGGAGTTGAATCAGGTGTGTTAAATGAGGGGAAACCCAAAAATGTGCAGGGCTCCGGCCCCCCGGGACTGGAGTTGGGGACCCCTGGTCTATACAATGGGACATTGACTGAAATAATTCTTGCTGTTTAAGGCTACAGCTAGTGTTAGACTCTTGGAATTTTAATCATAAATTGTCATAACATTCCCATATCCCTGCTGTGGATGGATGGTTAATCATAACGAGACATATGTGTTCTTTGCAAATATAGTGAGAAGAATGACTGTTATTCTAAGGTGGCACTGCCTCTGTTCGAGAACCTGACCATCATAAAGCAGCCTCTGAATCTCTGGACCCTGGCTGACACCTACACTCAGCCAGCTGTGCGCATCCTCCGCACCTCAAGGTACTACGTGAGAAGGAATGCGTTAGCTTTGGGAAAGGACTGTATAGAGAGCAGAGCTTTGGTGTCACGTTTGTTGCTTTAGGCATGACCTAGAGCTGTCAGGGCATGTTTTTCTGTGTGCATTCTTATTTTAAAATTTTGATGCTGATTGTCATGCTTTTTGAAAGTTTAACGTATTGGGGTCAGACGCAGGCCTGCTGGCGAAGTCCCCTGAGTAGGACACAGTGAAGGCACTTTGATCATCTCCAGTAAACATTTCAGAATACATCTGAATCCAGGCGTGGTGCCATGACCTATGTATAGCAAATAGGAAAAGGATTAAGTAATTGTTTGAAAACTTTTGTGCTTATGGGCCAGTTGGCAGCAGTTGGCTTTGAGCATAGCCAGTCCTCTTTCTGCAGTATCTTTTGTTAGCAGTTTGTGAACGCTGCAGTGATGTTTAATTAGCAGCATCCCCTGAAAGGTTTCTGGCTCTCACCTTTGTCTCAGGCAGAGAGGGCAGCCCTTCCTGCTGTATGTGGCGCTCTCCCACATGCACGTTCCACTCTCCCCCGCTCCGTGCCTGGACGGAAGTGCCAAGGACGTATACAAAAGTGCTCTGAGGGAGATGGACGGCCTGGTGGGGGAGATAAGGAGAGCGTCCGATGAGAATGATAAGGGAAACACGCTAATCTGGTTCACCGGTGAGATTTACACATCTGCTGTTATAAAGGGGCACGTGGCCAGGTTGTGCTACACATAGGTACTGGTGCCTCATTGCTTACTTGACACTTTAAACCAGCGTTTCTCAAACCAGTATTTGGGGAACCCTAGATGGTCCATGTTTTTGCTCCCTTGGGAGGGAGCAAAAACATGGACCGTCTGGGGGTCCCCAAGGACTGGTTTGAGAAACGCTGCTTTAAACTATAGTGACTTACAGTCTTACCCATTTCATGCTGTTTATGTCTTAGTGTTAAGTGTAAATAGTGAGGCACATGCTGGCATTTGATCTGTTACACCTTTAGGGTACCTGTATATGGTGGGGAGCTTGAATTCTGTTCTTCCTGTTTCTCAGGTACTCAGGTTTCCTCCCACATTCCAAAGTCATGCATTTAGATGAACTGATATCTCTAAATTATCCACCGGGTGTGATTGTGAGTGTTTGTGTCCGTCTGCCTTGTGATAGACTGTCATTCTATTTATGAAATCCATCTTTCTTCTGCTCTGTGTTTAATGTGATTCACTCCAGCCTCCCTGTGACCCGGTACTGGATAAGGGGATGGATGGTACCTATGTTTTTATAACCACCAAGTTGTCTGCTACTTGAATTTTAATTTTATATACGGTCTGATTATTAAGTCTAATTACAAATTACAAAGCCGAAGCCAAATAAATAATTTCCACTGTGATGTAAATCTCTGTAAATCCGTAAAAATGTAAATTAAAATAGATTTCAAGCCAAGTGTAGATCAGCCTTTATTAAGAAGGCTTTCCATAAACCAGGTTCAAAGGTAGTCAACAACACATTTGTTCTGGCCATGAGCACATTCCACATCTCTGTGGGGGCTTTGGGGGGGGGGGGTGGACTCTAGAAGAATAAAATGTACGAGGTGAACTTTGAGCTGGTCATGCTTGTTCCCCTCAGGCGACAATGGCCCCTGGAACCAAAAATGCCAGTTTGCTGGAGACGTGGGTCCTTTCCTAGGGACGTGGCAGACGGACAGGGGTAAAGATTTGACTACTACTCACTGACATGGTTACTTTTCATAAATTTCTCAAGAACCTTAAAATATCAGAATTTATGCTGTGACCCATTTATGCAGTGATGCCAGCATAGCCTTTATTTGTGTGAAGGATTACAGCTTGCATTACACACAGCACTGAACATTGGACAGAGAGCTCCACGCAGAAGCTGGGCTGGATCGCAGAGACACGTCTCACTATCTCATTGCTGACCGTGTCCCACAGCTAATGTAGATCCTGTAAATAGTGGTGGGGAAATGCAAACATTTTCTGCCCTGCTAACCTGTTGTAAGATGGTCCACAGTTCCTCTGTCAAATGTTTCATCAGGTGGGGGCTCAGCTAAAACAACCACATGGGAAGGGGGGCACCGGGTGCCCACCGTGGCATACTGGCCTGGGAGGATCCCAGCCAACATTACCAGCAACACCCTGCTTAGGTACTGAAATGCCTGTTGAGCATTCTGGCCGACTTTGGTTGTTTTAAATGTGCTAGAGAAATAAAAGTTGACCTTGACATTGACATTGAACCATAGTGACAAGCATTTGAAAAAGGTCAACTCTGCTATCGACAAGCAGAAGCTGATCCTGGTTTCTTCTCTCCCCGTCAGTGGTTTAGACATTTTCCCGACCATCCTCTCCCTGGCAGGCGTCCAGGCACCATCTGACAGACACTACGACGGCATCGATGCCACTGACGTTCTGCTCCGTGGCTCAGAGACTGGACGTGAGGTACGACCCGGGTTGAGGTTCAGGTTCTAACATGTACAGACTCTCAACAGGACCTGTTCCACATCCAGAAAAATCATGCCGGGAAAGACTCTGACCTCCTTTATTTCCTTTTGGTTTAATCCGAAGTGAATGAGTTATGGTGCAGGAGGACAATGCAGTAGCTGCACTCAGAAACAAAGGTAAAAATTTGTTCCCTAGTAATTGTACCTTTCAAGGTACAGAAATGGACGCAGAAATGGATCATCCCAAAGGAACAAACAGCATTAATGTATCATCAATGGTACAAAATGTTCCTAAAAGTCCATTTCTGTACCTTAAAAAGTACAGTTACCTACAGCTAAGGGTACAATTGGCAAACCCGTGAGGGAACAGCCCCAGTGACAAGCAAAGGTACAATTTTTTTTACCCCTTTTTCTGAAAGTGTGGAGAAATTAATCAAAGACATTTATTGCAGGGGAAGCAGGTTGAAAGTGACATGTTAAAGGTTTCTTGAAAGGTCTAGTCTCACATGGTGTCTCTCTGCCCACCCCAAAACCTTGAACTGTTATCTCTGATGTTTTATCAAGTGTTAAACTGCTCTGATATCTGGAGTTATTGTTGGAAATGGGTTCTCTGTGACTTTATGAATGAGCTGTCAATTTGTTCCATGGTTTCTGGCTTGTCTATACGTCAGATGCACTAAGGTATTTGGTTTTGTGTTTCCCCGCAATGCAGAGCATCATGCATCCTAACAGTGGAGCTGCCGGACATTTTGGGGACCTGCAGACCGTCAGGCTGGGCCAGTACAAGGCTTTCTACATGACTGGTACGGATTGTCCTGGAAGCTCTGTCGGCCAGCGCTCTCTGTCTCACGGCATGGGTTAGACTCGTCAAAACCGCTTTTACGTTCTGCTTAATATTGCTAAAAAATAATCTGCAGGTCTTAATCGCTAACCCTTCACCGTAAATGATTACCCCTTTTCAGCTCCTAGACGACTTGTGTTTTTATTGGGGGCATCAGCAGGGAGATCTGTGAAATAGTTAAATTATCAGACAACGCTAATGTCCAGGCTGCCTTGGATTAAACATCTGCCAAGCCAGAGTCATAGTAATGCTGATGAATATTAGCTTAGCCTGAATGCTACATGTATGAACCCATTTCCCTGAAAATGACATATTTAGCTGACACTTGTACTTCTCTAATAGGTAAAAGAGTAATGTGTCATCTTCGATTAAAAACAATGTATCTATATCTGGTTATTAAACCACTGTAGCAAGCTAATGCTTAATGCTTTACTTATGGGATTTCAGTATCTCTGTAAGTTTATTTAAGTACCAGTCAAAAGTCTGGACGCACATATCAATACATACTAAATGTGGCAATGGCCAAGAGAAGTGTTCAACATCTCAAATTTTAGACTTCTCAAAATAGCCCCCCTTTGACTGCGATGACAACATTGAAGACTCCCGGCATTCTTTCAACCAGCTTCCAGATGTAGCCACCTGGAATGCTTCTCCAGCAGTCCTGAAGGTGTTTCCACAAGTTCGGGGCCCAAGTTGACTACCTCTGTGCTACACACCAGCTCTGTCAGGTTTAGGTCGGGGAATTGTGTGTGCGTGTGTGTGGGGGGGGGTTACGTCATCTGTTGCAACATAATGCTTCCCAGATAACCTTGAGGTGAGCTTAGGGTCATTATCGGGTTAAAAGCCAAATGATTTTCAGTAGATGTGTCCTCACTTTTGACATATACTGTATGTTATTCCATTTCTACCAGAACGGAAGGAGGGCAGGGGGTGATATATGTGTGATATATATGATATATACACTCAGTGACAAAAAAAGTTAAGAAGTAATGGTCTGATTTGGATGTAATTTGGTAAATGTGTAGACTAGCCATGGGTATTTAAATGATTCAATTTGCAAGGAGCTGGCACATCTAGTCACCAGACACAGAGGATGCCTCCGAGACGCATTAGACAGCATTACCAGCACTTGACAGTTTGATAGGGGTCACATTGTGGGTTTGCATGAGGCCGGGTGGTCGCATTGTACAATTGCCCGGGGGGGGGGGGGGAACATGGGACCAGCAGTGTGCCCATACTGCCAACTCTGTTGTCCGATTGATCTGATGATATAATCATTGCGATACAGTCACATGACCTTTCACCACATGCAGAATCATTTAATTTCCGCCACTCTGTCTGGGTGCTTCACTTTTTTTTGTCACTGAGTGTATACAACTCTCTCTCTCTCAGGGGCTGCAGAAGCCTGTGGTGGAGGAAAGGGACAAGCAGAGGTCCACAGCCCCCCTCTGATTTTCAACTTGTCAAGAGACAAGGCGGAGAGCAGGCCCCTGGACAGCAGCACGGCCGAATATGCGGCCATCTCGGAGCGGGTGCGGGAGGAGAGGCAGGTGGTGCTGCGGGACATCGCTGCAGACCGCGTGTCACACGCTGACTACTCAAGGGACCCCACTGCAGCCCCCTGCTGCAACCCGGCTCATGTGACCTGCCGCTGTCAGGGCTGAGACTTCATGGAGCTTCACTGTACATTTAGCTGAAAGGGTTGGTTCATCACCCACTGTTTCGAACCTCCTCCCAGTGCTGTAGGTGGGGAGTTGGTTCTCCTTGTTTCCCATCATAGTCCTGAAATAGATGCATTTCCATTGCTCAGTGTGTATGTTGAATGCGCGTTCTGTCTGAGCCTGTCATTCTGTCCAGGGTGTCCCCTGCCATGTGACCTTTGCTTCCTGGCTACAGGCTCAGTGATCCTGTGCTGGAAAAGTGATGATGGATGGATGGAAATATTTTTGTAATCAAACTGTCTATATTTATGATTGTTTTAAAATATATTCAGTAAAAAGTATAGTATGTGCCGTGGTCACGGGGGACTCAAAACAGAGGCATGACAGCTGGGTACATGCAGAGTGCATGGCCCTAGGGACACCTCATGGAGAGCGTGCCATAGAGTGACCAGAACCCCCGCATGCTGACACGCCCCCTGCTGGGCATATGGGCACTTGCGGATACCCTACTTATGAGAGCCAGCCTCAGGTCACGGGAGTCGGCCCGCCCACACGCATTCAGCCTATAGCGGACTGGTAAGAATCTGCAGGGTCCCCCTCCTACAACCTGAGTCTCACTGAGAGCAGCCTGCATCTCATGGGCTGTGGCTCCCTTCCTGCTTACGTGAATACACATGGGTGGATGGGTATTGCCTGTCCAACACATGCTTTCTTCCCCCTCCTGGTGCACGTTGCAAAAGGAATCACGAAAAATGTCTCAGCTCTGTGGGACGTGGGACATTAGGAAACGTTTTCTGTGCCGGCTTGTACTCGATTTGTTCTTCATTTTATGTTTCTCATTTGATGTTTTTTATTGTTTTTAATGATGTGAATCTCTACAGCACTTTGGTCAACCTTGGTTGTTTAGAAGTGCTTTATAAATAAATCTTGATTTGATTTGATTTATGTACATTTTCATTTTCACTCCCCCCACCCCACACACACCCTGAGGCCGTCTTAATTAATGCTGTGGGTAAATTAATTAAACTGCCTGCCCATATTTTGGGGATTACTCTCCAGGTGGCAAAAAAACCCTTTACAATCCATGTTCTTAACCTTGCATCAGTCTGAGTGGGAAAAAATCAGCACTGGCCAAAGGACAAGTTGCATAAGTTTATTTCTATTGTAATTCCACTTTTTTTCTGCTTTTGGTTTTAGTGCACCTGGCAAAAACTCTTTCCATGGTTACAAATTATATTATGATAGGCACATACAAAACAGCCTGACAACATGGTACATGGAGGGAGACACAAACATGTATCCAAAATAAAACAATCTAAAAAACAGATTAAACATGATAAAAACGGTTACACTTCTTAGTCACGATTAAATACAATAACAATTAATATACTTTGTTAATCTTAATGGTCAAGTAAACTGATATTTCCTTATATTTGAGTTCAGTCATGTACCCTTTCCATATCACCCACCCCTGTGGCTTTGCTAATGTAGTCCAGTCCTAGTCCTGAGTAGGACACTATCTTCCATTTTTGCCCCGCCCCCTTGCCCATTTTTCCTGCCTCTGGGTTAGTCATACGGAACGTAGTGCCCTGCTATGAGTTTGTTTCTGCTGGCTCGCGCTTAACCGATGTTCCGGCTGCAGGTCACCACGGGCCGCCACCTGCACGCTCTAACCTCACGGCCGTCTCCCTTTGCCACTCCGAGTCTCGTCACGGCATCGATTTATCTACCAAAACCAAAACACAGCTTCATTGTTCCCGGTGCCGCAGCATAGAAAGATTAGAGCACAGTTCATCACATGCACACTGCCCAGGTCCCTGCCTTCACTGCCAAGGTGGACATGCAGGCTCAAACTCCTCCTGCTACCTTTGAGAAGACATGAAGCCATGCTGCATGACCTCACACCTGGTCTCCTTCAAATGCCCAAAAGCATAAATAAATCATCCTCCCCAATACACAGCATTTTTTTAGCAGATGCTTTTACCCAAAGTGACACACAATTGAGAAAACAGGGTCAGCCAGGACCTGGAGGAACTGGAGCTATGGGCCTTTCTGTCAAGAGCCCAACAGTGGCATTACTCTGAGGACCACAGGATTCGAACCAGCAACCTTCCGATCACAGGCACCGAAGCCTAACCCCCAGAGCCATACAAGGCCACATGTTGCTTAGATCAATCATAAATATTGGTTTCCATTAAATATGTTGCGGTTTTCAACTTGAAAACGTCCAGCTGCTGACAACCTTGGCAAGAGCAGCAGAGGAGCTGAAGGCTTTTGTCTCGATTTGCCCAAGTACACAAGTTCCTACTGGTTTTGCCAGTAATAAAAAACAATTACTTAACATATCACATTTTCGGTAGAATGTTTTTAAGGCGATAGCTCAATGATGTTTTCTTAAGGTTCCACAAACTGACAAAATGATTATTACATTTGTGGTCAGTGGAAAATCTTCAGGCCTTTGTAACCTGAATTTGTTGCACAGTACCTTTACCAGCCTCATGAGGAATAATACCTGGAAGATCATTCTTCTGAGTCTACAGTGATACGGTCCAAATCCAGCCCCACCTCACTGCAAACCATATATTGCTCTTTACGAGTTTACTATACTGGCAGATGGCTGTATGCTGTTTCATAGCAAGCATTCATCCGTGTCAATAATTACTGATCAATCCGCACTAAACATTAGTCATGCTTTAAAAAAAAACACACAGACACCTTCAGTGATAAAAGTCCACGAAAGACCATATTATGAAGAGATCTTCACCTACTTCTAAAAGCTTCACATGGTAAATGCTTACTAAGAATTTACTCATTAATACAGACAAAACCCAGTTACAAGGAAACAAGTACAACTCAGGTATTAAATGAACCAGCAAAGACCCGGACAAGTACACAGGACAGCTCCATCTGGTGGGGTGAAAAATACTGTAGAGGGGGTCACAGTAATATGCCACAGTAACATACTGACCTACAATCCCAAATTTATTTGATGGAGATCAGATGAAATGTTTGCCTGCGCATGTATTTAAATGTAAGACACCATTCCTACAGCCGCCGCGTATCTGAATCAGGTTGAAAATACGATCTGGGCTCTAGTTACAGCATCTGGAGATTTTCTAGGTCTGTTTAATGAAATTAACTGGACCTCAGGAGCAGCCATTTTGCTGTGCGTGTGCAGGCCTCCTTACGATACTAAATCTTAATTAAAAGGGTAAATATTTCACAAAGTAAAATGTCTTAATGTGGTAGTCAACACACCTTTACTGGAAAAATGTTTCATTGGTAACAAAAATTATCCATAGCTGTGCTCATTACAGCATTAGCTAAATATAATATAATTGATTTATGTAAAAATCCAGACCCTTTTTGCAGTTTGTGCTTAAAAAGGGAGCCAGAACCCGGCCATCCTCGGACCCTGACCTGCTGCATGAGTCCACCAGTACTGACCCAGAAAGTGCTGAAAACACATTACAGAGATTCACTTGCCAAAAATATGCATTTCTGCTAAAAGAACACAGCTCTGTAAAAAGGTGCATCTATGCTGCTTTTCTTCTCTTAAAAAAATCAAGATGTCCATTGAAATTTAACCCTTCAATCCATATATCTGCATAAAACGGAATAAAGTTCAAAATGATTGATTAATACATTAGTTTTCTTTTTTTTCTGGGAATGTTGTCTCCAGACACCGGATAGTTAGTTACATCTCTTCGTACAAAATCTAGATTAAAAATGGTTTATTAAAATAAGTGCTATGCTGTTTTGGCAGATATGGAGGAAAAAATATATTAGTAAATTAAGAAAGATAAATTGTAACGTGCAGTCAAGCTGGTGTGCTGCCAAATCACCCTTTGCCTGTAAAGCACTTAAGTTTGTTAACACACTAAAACTAGATAAAATATGTCTCTTCTTTCCTTCCCTCTCATGGCACACTGGACAGTTATGATTGGCCTGACATCGGCAATGTGTGCAGTGTGGAGAGGCATCTTCTCCACACTGAAATACACGTGGACGATCGCAGGCAAACAAAAATAAATACTTTTAATTCTAAATTCTATCTCTCTGTGTAAATTGTAACCAGGTATCAAGGTGCAGCCAGATGTCTGGTCACGTTTTACACTGGGGCGATGCTTTGGCACATGGTCAGCCCCCCCCCCCTCCCAAGCCTCAGGCCGTCAGCAGCCTTGCGAGTGGATGTGGACTTGCCAGCACACACGGAGGGTTTTAATTATTCTGAATGCTCACAGGGGGAAACTCCTTCTCATCATCGAGACACACGGGTCCTGCCGCGAACTCGTGTTCTGGGATCACTTCACCCTTCCTCATTCCTCCATCTTCGGAGTACCCTAGTGGGGGGTGGGGTGGATAGAGAGAGAGAGAGACAGGGAGAGAGAGAGAGAGAGAGAGACAGAGAGAGATCACTCTTCTCACAAACACCAAGCCCCGCTAGGCCCCGAGAGGAGAATCAAGCACTAGCTAAAAGAGGCATGATTGTAAGACAAGCCCCATTAACATATTAGGCCATGTTCAACAAACCATTTGGTTCCAGCCATGAATGACGGCTGCAATCTGGCAGTATACTCCCAGGACATGGCTTCTCTACTTGGCGATGCCCCCAACACGTACCGGTAAGAGCTGCGGTGGAAGGTGTGGCAGTGGGGATAGCGACAGTGGCGGCGTAGGACTGGCTGGCAGGTTGGGCTGGTCGGCTCTCCGACGCATCAGCAGATTCCCTCTGGCCGTCCTCAGACTCAATCAGCCTGCAGGTAGGGAGGTGGTGGGTAGGTGGACATTAAGGCAAAGATAATGGAGACTGACTGGGCTACAGCAGAGACATTATGGGAAATGGGGCTTCAGATGGACTAGAGCAGTGTTTCCGCATCAGGTTCTCAGGGACCCCCAGACGGTCCACGTTTTTGCTCCCTCCCTCCTCCCTGGCAGACGGTCCACGTTTTTGCTCCCTCCCTCCTCCCTGGCAGACGGTCCACGGTTTTGCTCCCTCCCTCCTCCCTGCCAGCGGTCCACGTTTTTTCTCCCTCCCTCCTCCCTGCCAGACGGTCCACGTTTTTGCTCCCTCCCTCCCTCCCTGCCAGACGGTCCACGTTTTTGCTCCCTCCTTCCTCCCTGCCAGACGGTCCACGTTTTTTCTCCCTCCCTCCTCCCTGCCAGACGGTCCACATTTTTTCTCCCTCCCTCCTCCCTGCCAGACGGTCCACGTTTTTGCTCCCTCCCTGCTCCCTGCCAGACAATCCACAAAAACATGGGCTGTCTGGGGGTCCCCAAAGACCAGGCTGGGAAACACTGGGCTAGAGAGATGGTCCAAGGAAGGGATGCAGAGATGCAGACGTGAGGCTTGGAGAAAGCGGAATAAGGAGCACAGCTGCTGTCCACCTCACCTGTGGTTCTTAACTAGTACGCATTCGCCACCATCCTGAGGGTCCACGTTGTAAATATAGAGACTTCCATCAGACGAGGCCACCAGCAGCCGAGGCAGCTTCTGGATCCTGGTGGAGGTAGAGTGCAGCGGCACAATCAGCAGGGCAGGGCGGGCGTGAGAGAGATCGCTGTGTGCGGCCATGCATCAAAATGCACTTCAAAAGCACACCCCACACATGTGACATCAGCTTAAAGCCCTAACTGTCCTCTTTAAGGAACAACAGGACTTAACAGAATAGCATGCATGGTGTGAGAGATACGAGCAAAAACATAACGACCTTTATAGAGGACAAAAAATGAATCTCAGGAGGATATGGGTACCCGGTCGATGGGACTGCCACTATAGCTATACGATCTGAACGGATGATATGCCTGAATGCTCCATATGATACATTCAAAGGTTTCACTGTCATTGTGTTACACACAGCCAGATTATGATAGTGATTTCTGAAGCCGATCAATACAAAGTAAACATTATACAAATAGCAGGCTGCAGTTTTTGGGGGAA